TAAGCATAATTATTTAATTCACAAATAACATCAAAAACCTTCTAAAACCTTTTGAGTTTAGTTAATTAATTATATATAGGTGTTGCCAGGAGACTTTTCCTTCATTGATAAAGTAATCTGCAAATATATCTCTGATATTACTTGCCGACGTATTACTACTTTCAGTCTGCTGCCTGGGTAGTGGTCCCGTAAAACCATTTGTGACAAATGTATGGCTGACCTTGTAGCCATCCCGTTTCCTTATGAAATTGTGAAGTACACATGCCGTCTTGACTATTAATTGTGCTAGATCTAACTTGACATTCATGGATCTGTGAAATATTCTAAATTTATTTGACATAATTCCAAAAGTGCATTCTATGTACCTTCTAGCTCTGGACAGACGGTAATTAAATATTTTCTTTTTGTAAGGTAAATTATCACGAGCATAAGGCCGCATCACATGTGATGATAAACCAAATGCCTCGTCTCCCACTATCACGAACGGCAACTTTGCTCTTACACTAGATGGATAAGCTACTTCGGGGCAAATAATAGGCAACTCTTGCGGGTCAGGGATACCCAACGTGTTACTTTCCAGTTTCGTATACAATTGACTCCTTCTAAAGATGGTTGAATCGGCGTTGCTTCCACTGGTACCGACATTAATATATGTAAAATTATAATCAGCATCACACATTGCGAGGAGCACTACAGAATAATATTTCTTATAATTAAAATATAGTGATCCACTGTGCGGCGGCCGAATCACTCTTATATGTTTTCCATCAATTGCACCCAAGCAATTAGGAAAATTTGTATATGTGAGAAATCCCTCTGCGATTTCTTTCCATTTGATCCCATTAAGCTGTGGAATACATTCAGACTTTAGTTCAATCCATATTATGTAACAAACTTGTCTTACTATTTCGCTAATTGTTGCAATTCCAATCACATAGGAATAGTGTAGATCAGTGAATGTATTACCAGTTGCCAAATATCTGAAAACAAAAACAATATATTAATAATATGATAACATAATATATTAATAATGCTGACATCAGACATAAGACAGCATGCACCGCTCGAATTTTACTTCAGAAGAAAAATAAATACCCTTAAGGTGAAAGGGCACGGAAGTAGCTAGCGCTAGAAGTTTTTAATTCGTTTTAACTACAGTACTATAGCTACGTTAGATTTCTATGATTTGCCGAAAATTTTATCATAGGGGGGTATTTATGCAGTTATGATTTCATATGAAAAGTTCGAAGTATAGTTATGTATCTCATATCTGCTAAAAGTGGCCACTTTTAGCAGATTTGAGACACATAACTATGCTGTAAATATTTTATAAGAAATCTTCTCTGTATAAATTAACCCCTATGGTAAAATTTCCGGCAAATGAAAGGAATCTAATAAATATATATAATATAATATAATGAAATATCGTTTATTTCAGGCAATATTTACATTACAAGATGTCCTCCTTCATGAAGGTTGACAGATGCAAATAAAGCAAATTTTTGTTAAAACAAATTAAAAACTTACAGCGCTAGTGACTTCCGGAAGTTTTCACCTTAATTTTGATGATGGCAAATTTTACTGTAACAAATAAACAAATTGCCCGATTCAATCCGGTGTTTTTCCAAAAATCCTTAAATGAAGTTCTAATTATTTTTGTAAAAAATGAATTATTTCGTCGATGTCTGCGCCGCGCCGCCCCGGCCGCGCCGTCTGCGTCTAGTATAAGATTCACTTTGCGCTATCGTTCGCGGCGAAATTGACCGGCCTGCGCCGGCCCGCCGTTTGCGTTGCGCCTAAGGGTACTTTTCCTTCAACTGCGGCCTTATTTTTCCACTCTGTATAGGTATATATATATTGCTTGATTTATCTAATGCTTCATGAGACAGTGTAAAGTTGACAACATGTGTGAATTAAGGAGGGCCTTTAATCGAATGCAGTTAAATTTCCAACTAATATCAGATTTGTACACACGGCCACAGATCAAGCTTCCCAAAACCAGTATAAACAGGACTCATGCGTTGTTTATTATCGTAGACGACTCGGCGCCCGGCGAGGCCCTAGCAAGTTCCGTTTATTGGTACTGGTTTTGGGTAACTTGATCTGAAACTGTGTGTACTTTTGCCACTTACTTATTATATTTTGTCATTTCAGACAAGAAAATACAACAACGCTGGCGAACAGCAAGGGACACTTACCAGAAAGACAAGATATCTGAAAAAAATCAGCCATCCGGCTCTGGGAGTAAGAAGAAGAAGAAGAAATATTCTTACTATGACATTTTGACTTTCTTAGACAGTACAACGGAAACTGCTGGAGAAGAGTCACTCTGTGAAGAAATGTCTGAACAAAGTAATTTAGAAACACCTAATGAGTCCACGCAACCAGATACTTCACGTCAAGAAAGTTCTCACCCAACATCAAAACAAAAACAAATAAAATCTAAAAAGCAAGCACCATCTGAATTTGAGGCACAGTTATTAGAATGCTTAAAGTCTAATCAACTGGAGCTAGAAAGTGAGGATTTGGCTTTCTTTCAGTCTCTGCAGCCTTCATTAAAAAGATTCACTAGATATCAAAAACTAATGTTCAGAACAAAAGTGTTAAATATAGTTATGGAAATGGAAAGTCAAACACAACCTGCATACTACAGTCCCATACCTACAACAAGTTCTAGTGCTTTTACTGAGCTTGACAGTTTGTCACCGATAAATCAAGATTACCAAACCAATAGTATAATCCAGGATACTTCGAGTCTTAACGACAATGCTATTAGTTCTGCTGCAGTGAATGACAATGAAACTCTTATTTCGACTGAAAGCGGCCTGTTTAATATCACGTCTTATGACGTAATTTATACCCCAGCAACAACATCATCTACAGGCGAAAGTAATGTCAACGCTCAGGATACAAATTTACAAAGAAATGAATGATGTAAAATTTGATTTTTTAATTTATGAATAAAACTCTTTTTATTAAAATGAGTACGATTAACTTTTTTTCTCCAGTTTCTCTCTAATTGTTTGTTTAGTCATATGAGTGCGGTTGTACACACGGCACAGATCAAGTTACTCAAATCCAGTATAAGCGGGACTCCGACGGGTTACCTAAGTATGATAATACGCAAGGCGCGAGTTCCATTTATGCTGGTTTTGGGTAACTTGATCTGTGGCCATGTGTACTTTATCAGATAAAAAAAGGATTGTGTATGTAGGTTGAACGTACCAATCCCAAACCAATTAAGGACTTTTTTTGACTTTAAATTACTGTCATGTGCAAACCTATAACTTTTATCTATATTATAATAAGTAGCGTGTGATGAAAGGTAGGAATGATTCCACTTTAATGGCGACATTTTATGAGTGAAATAATCTTATTTAATGAAATTTCAACATGAAATTGAATGAAATTATGAACAATGAAATTTCAGAGTACATGACAAAATTTTTTTTTGCACATGTAAATTTACACATGACAGTAATTTGAAGTCAAAAAACGTTTATCCTACCTGTTCAAATCCCTTTCCACTAAATCATAGCAGGAAATTAAATATTTAAAATTTAAAACTTACCTTAATGTAATAGCGAGCCTCTCAATCGGTTGTATTGTAATCCTTCGTAAACTGCTTTTTTGTAGCTTATTCTCAATTTTACACAACAGTTCATCAAAAGAACGAATGGACATTCGAAAGTAATTTTTAAATTTACGTTCATTATTTTGTAGTTTTCCAAAGCGTGTAACAAACGCCCCAGCAAGAAGCCTATTTTCAAGAAAGGGATCAACATGTACTCTTGTCTTCTTGTTTCGTCGTTTGTAAAGTATGTAAGCGACACATATTCTTCTGACATTGATCATTTTTGAACACGTCTATACCGTTACGCAGCCCGTAGAAAACTGAAACTCATGCTGCGTATGATCCGCAGCGTGAAATTTTACGCATGCGGTCCAATCCCGCGTGCGTGAGCAAATCCGCGTGACACTAAAAGCGCCCTAACGGCAATACGTTATGATTTTTGTTTGTTTATAAAAAAAAAATGTATGAGTTTTTTTTTTTATAGAATCATGTAGAATTGAACTGTAATTGGGGTAAAAAGTTGGAAGAAGAAATAAAAGTGCATTCCGATTATCCACCCTACGATGGATAAACGTAATTACCCAAATAAATTTATTTGAATAGGGTTTTCTGGCTTGTCCTTGTAAAATCGTAGCTTGTTAAGTGTTTATACAAGATGTAGAATTTAAACATGAACGTGTTTGAAGTATAAGTTATTTATATTTAAAAAAAAAAAACAGGTTTTTACTTTCATTAATTTATTAGTTCAAATTAAGGCATACATCTTGTCCCATACACTCAATACTGACTGCAAGCGCCTTAGTTTAAAAGTATCTGCTCAATGCATAAAACATATTATAGAAACATTAAATGCAGTAAAATTGTTGATATTTTTATTTATCCCTGTTAATGGTTATATTTAGACAATAACGTCATTCATTTAATAACAAAATATTTACGATATAACTGCATTAAGCAGATTTGAGATTATATATCTGCAATAATACGAAATTAAGAATAATGTTGAAGTTCAACATTATGAAAAGAAAAACGGGCTGTTTTGAAAATGTTAATATGGTAAAATATTTTAAGCATACAAAATTACTTAGCCTAAGAAATTTAATGTAATGAAATTAAATAAACTGCAAATGCATAATATTTTATAAGACTGAAACAAAAATCGCAGAAAATGCAGTTTACATATGATTTGGTCACTGCAATATCTAAAATTATAACTTAAAAGTGACACTTAGCTATGATATCCAGCTTATATGTGTACCTTAAATTTAAGATATTTTTACCAACTGCATATCTTGCGATTTCTATGATCACCTTATTAAACCATTGTTATGTTGCAAACGAAACAAAAAAGTTCTTTATCATTCCACTTCATTTGAATCTATTTAACAGATTTGGTTCAACAACTACCCATACTGTAGTTGAATATTTATTCCATTCCGTCGGCTGGCGACCGCACGTCGTCTATTTTGAGGATCATCTTGACCATTTGTGTGGCGAGTGCAATCTGCTGCTTCTTGGAATGAAGAGACTCAATGACGTTCATTTCCTTCATATCATTTGAACCTGTTAAATTATTATAAAAACCTTTTATATTTTTCTCTCAACTTTTTAAAGTACATCTGCGTGTGTCCGCGTTATTTTTGGACACAAAACTAGTCAATAATTGAATAAATGCAGACCTGAGTATACATTTACCCAACAAAAAAAATTATACTGAGAAAAGTGAAATTACACTAGCTCCTATTCATTGTATTGATGTGGTGTCAGAAAAATGTGGCCAAAGTATTGTAAAATACCTAATCGGATGCCTAGCCCTCTAAAGGCCTTTTGTGCTTATTGTTGTATTGCTTACCATCACGGCTGGTAATCTCTGAGCAAAAATCTTTGACCGTATGAAATGCAGTGAGCAATTCAGAATATGACGTTTCCCTCGTCCCTCCCATCTCTTGACCCTTCCCGCTGCCGCCATTTTGTCATGTTAGCAATTAGCGTGTTATTGTCGCGTAGCTGTCAAGTTAGAAGTTTTCTTGGAAATTTTTATTGTTTTTCTATGAAGTATGAACTAACTATAAATTATAAATAAAGTTTTATTGGCATTTTACTGCTATTTTACGAAAGGGTGTTTATTGTTTAATAGATTATATATTTCGACGGGACGTTTTCTTTAGCTTTAGTGTATTTTGTATATAATTTTTAGATTTAAAATGTATTTTTAAGTGTTTCATTCCCAATTGTGCAAGTAGCAGAGAAGAGTCTGACGAAGGCCTGTGACAAACTTAAAAGTATGCTGCATTCCAGTAACCTTTTCAAGAAGCCTGCTTGGTCACAAAATTTTTGAATAAAGGGTTTCATACTGCTAAATCTGACATTAATAAGTTAGACTTATAAAAGGTTGAATAAACTCAACACTATTCTTTGAAGTAAATTGAGTTAGGTTTATCATCAAAGAGGACAAATGTGTGTACATTTAATTATTCCTTAATAAACATAACTGCTCAGTATATTCAGTATTCATATAAAATTTAAAAAATTATAATAAAGATGTACGGGAGTACTATACATTGAATAAAATTACTTAATTCCTAGCATTTCAAGTGATCTCTTTGATAACAACTTAGTAATAATAATAAACTGGTTGACAACTTGTCTGCCAAGTATTACAACTATGGAAAATGTTCACCTTATACGATAACCTATGAAGGCCTATGTTTACCAGAAGCTTTATGATAGTCTGCAAAGAATGAATAATGAATGAAACATAATAATAAATTCTTTTTTATAATAATTAAAAATTTTAAGTTAATGGCTGAAGTAAATGAGGAATTCTATTATTTTAAATAATTAATTGTCAACATTATTTTATGCACAATCGCACACCTCTAGTCTTAATAATTACAAAATCGAGGTTGTCTGAATGACAATGACAAACAATCGTTGTTTTTATTTCAGATGATACAGTTCAAATAAACATAGTGTGATATTTGATCAGCCATCATAAAAAAGGTATGAGGAATAATTTTGCTGTCAAAGCACATAATAACTGATGGAAACGTATCATAATGGCAAGATGACGTGTACTAAACAGACTGCAAGCATACTCAATTGCGCTTGTTACATAAACTAAATGATGAACATGTGATTCCCAACGAAGTAAAAAAATTAAAGTAATAATCATGTAAAATTTATATAGCAAAACAATTGCCATTCTAAAACTTCGGTTCAGATAGTACAAGTATTTTTATTAGGATTAGTAATATGTATTTTCAAAGTTAACTACTTGTAATTTATATATTTAAATATTCCTTTTCCCAGCTCAATACACTGGATATCTAATGTATTGAAGAGAACCTTTCCACAGAAAATATTCAAGTGCAAGCAGCATGAGAGCAATTAAATGTTTACTCTATAGCATATACCACAGATGGGATTCTGAAAGGCACGGATATCATTAGAATCGGAAAGCGTACATTGCCACCAATGCAAGAAAAACCCTCGAGTATTAAAAAGCTAAAAAAATAAATCATATAATAAATAATATATACAATGCATTTTATTTCTACGAATCCTTCTTCATAATAAAATAATAATAATAATAAAAATAGTAATTAAAATTATATACATATATGAAATAAAATTATTCCTTTGCCTATGTACAATTCATATTTAAAAAAAGAAATGTCATATTCTGATTTGCTCTACGGTCCAAATTAAATGTACCAGAGACGTCCGTCTGAACGCGTAGTGTTTCTATATAGTTTGTGCTTACCATTAATTGGACAGTTAAAAAGATATTGCCACTATATAAATAAATTATATATAATTGTCATACTTGACAAAAGAATTGACGATCGCAATACCAGATGTATCACACCTTTGATACTGCAAACTGTCGCTGGCCTGGGTATTTTACGTCTAGGAGATGGTTATACTGCCATCGAAACCCTTTATATTTATTTAACTTTATCCACAGCAGTCTCCACTTAAAACGCTACACATGCAACGAAATAGCGTGACGGCTTCTCTTACTCTGCAACCACACTGCTGATTTGACTCTTATTGTCATCAGATCTAGTTTAAATATAAATTTTCACTAGAAACTATTCGTATCAAGGTGTAATCATCATCCATTCATTACAGCCTATAAAAGCCCACTGCTGAACATTGCCTCATGGGAGGATTTTGTTATAGTTGCCATGTTTGGCAAACGGGTTGGCATCCGCAGTTTTTTTTTTGTTATTTTGAGTTGTTATCAGGAAGATGCTGCGGCCCATCTCCTGTTTCATTTTTCCTCTGTCCTCTTACACCCTCAGGACGATTGGGGTAGTGGTTATTCTTACACCGCCACTACACGGTTAAATATAATTTAGGTTTAAGGTATAATAAAATTTAGTATTTCATACCTGTGCCCATACAGTCTATGCCAAGATTATTGTTATTCTCAGAAACCTGTCGTGCTTTAACTTCCGACAGTGAATCAATTGGAGACAAGCCACTGTGAAAAAAAAGGAAATAAAACAACAACCATTTTTTACATTATACACTTATATCATTCACACACAGCAGTTTTATTTGTTATTATTGAGTTCTAATCAGTAAGATGATGCTGCCTATCTCCTGTTTCAGTTTCCCTCTGTCAACTCTTACGACACCAATGGAATGATATGAGGTTGTTAATTCTTTTACGCCGCCCCTACAGTTTAAATACATTTTGGCATTTTTAAAGCCACAGTTTTCTTATATCCTATGTTCGCGCCAAACGCTGTTGTCGGAATCGACGTCTAGGGGGCGTGACGCTCGGTGCGGAACTAATCGTAGGGGCACAGATAGGTGTTTGAAAGAGGTCGTCGGACTTCTGTCCAGAATAGGACTTGTTTATGGGCTGCGATGTCCAGGAAGGGCATCCAGTTCAACCCTCCGGCTTGCCCACGTTGGGGCGGTAATTTTGGGGCTTTGGTTGGGGTTGCGGGATCTGATGGGGTGCCTGAGGTGGCCTAGTTTGGTTGTAGATTCGGTCTTGCAACTTACCGTCGCGACCTTGTCCCGCTGACCGGTTTGCTCGCGGACCTAAATCCTTATGTCCGGGACGGGGGTTTGTTCGCGCCAAACGCTGTTGTCGGAATCGACGTCTAAGGGGCGCGACGCTCGGTGCCATACAGGTTTGACAGTTGGATGTGTCGAGCGCGCGCGAGTGCAAGGCAGTCGTCTGTCAGCGGTGCTAACGTTAGCACACTGTCATTTTTTTCGGGAACTCGGAATAATTAGGCAATATACGGTCTAGGATTTTTGACGCGCATTCCTGCTGGAGAGCTTCCCAGGGACTCATTGTGTCTGACTCAGAATGTGTATAAGTGCATTCTACAATATTAGCTAGTGCGGCCTTTGATATTCTAGAAATAACTGTTGCTACGTGAAACGGTAGTGACCTTTGATCCGGACACTCCCTGTTCATTTTATGTGTTAGGCTTTATAACAAACGAGAGTTAGTGGCTTCTGTAATTATAGATTTTCCACTTTGGCCTGGAGGAGGCCCGACCTACGTCTGCTCGTCGAAACTTAGCTGAATGGGCCCCTGTGGATTTGATCTTTAAGGGAGCAGCCGTAGGCCGTAACATCCTATATTAATTTAATCTTCAGTCCAAGTTAATCTTTACGTGATTAACTTTTTACAAGTTATTGTTTTAGGAACAAAATGAATACGTACACATCTTAAAAAAAAAATTTAATGAGCAGATAGTGGAGTAATATGACATTACATTATCAGACAGTGTGCAGTGCGATCACTACCGAACTGAACAGATAGAAAGAGAAACGCAAAGACAGATTGCTTGTAACTATTTTATAAAACATAAAACAATTATTTTTGGTGAGTAATGCAGATTTTTTTTGTTGGAAGATGATTTAGAGGTTATTTAACAGTCTTTCTTTGTGTTGAAAATTGTTTAAAAACGTGTTTTGGAAACAACAGTGTTCTCAGATATGTAAGGATTTATTTATTTATAAAGGACACAAATTTTTTACAAAAAATATGTTGCAATTATTTTTTTAACTATCTTCACCCTGGATTAAATCAATTTAATGAAAATTTGCTACTTTGATTATGTTTTGAAAGGAAACAAAATTATTTCTCACCTGTTTTCAGCCAATGCCAATGGGATTGATTCTAGTGCATCTGCAAACCCTCTGAATGAATACTGGTCAAGGGACGATAGTTTGTCTGCGGCACGGGCTACTGCCAGTGAGCACGAAATTTCTGCAGCACCTCCACCATATACAACACGCGAATCCTAAATTAATTAAAACAAATTTAAAACATGAAAAAAGAATCAATAGAACTAAATAGTTTTCCTTCAATTAATGGTTATTGTTAGAAATACATAATTTCATTAGTATAATTTGATGTCTGCTTGGCTAAAAGGTGGTAAGGAGCAGGGCTTGGCAGCTTTTAAATTACATATTTAAAGGCTGCCAAGTAGTTATGTTGACGTAGTTATAGATACTATATACATTTTGTATAAAAACAAGAAATTAAATAGGCACAAATTAGGGTTACCAAGACAGCACTTATATTAATGACACGCAACTCTACAAGAAGCTGTCAAATGAGGTGAAAGAACATAGCACTATAGCGTTATTCTAAATATTCCTCTTACTTAAAAATGTATGGCTCTACCACATCCTTAAAGAGGCTTATGTTTGTCTGAATACTACATATTTAAACAGTGAACATCTAATATTAATGCAATAAGGTATTTTATTTATTACTAACGACCCGTCATACAACTGGGTGGGATCTATTTATATGTAATCATTTAGATTTTTTTATCCATTTTGCAATCGCTCAAAACTTCTCCAATATATTTTTCGGATAAAATATAGCTTAGATCACTCCTGGCATTGCTCTCTATCTGTTCGTGAAGTTTCATAACAATAGGTAGGCCAGGAAGATAAGCCCGGACAAAATATCACAATTGATTATTTGTATCTTAATAGTATGCAAATAAACGTCTGAGTATTACAGACAGACTTCAATTTTATCCATATAGTCCAAGCGGGGACCGTCGAAAAAGATCGGTCATCCGGAGTAAATAGAAAAATATAATTTTTCTGGTAGTCTGACGAGATTTTGGTCAAATATTAACATAAAGTTGGTCTTCTTTTAATAAAGTTGGTCTGGACCAACTTTATTAAAAGAAGAATAAAAACAAATATTTTGACGTTGAATTTGTTCTTATATCTTACTAGCTGGTACCCGGCGCGTTGCAGCCGCAGAAGAAATAATTGCGGGAAAACTCGTTTTAAATTTGGAAGAGTTGCAAATGATAATACATTCATTGAAGTGGAATGATCTTTTAAATAAATTTGCCTTTACGATACGCGCGTCACCTACTGTAAGTTAATTGTACTATGCCTATAACCTTCCCAGTAGTGCAAGCAATATATTGACAAAGTTTTTACCGCAATCTGATGAATAGTATGGCAGCGCATAAAACACAAAGAAACAAAAAATTTTTTTATAAATAAGATTTGCACAAGTTACTGACCACCAGACCGCTGGCTTATTATTTAACAATTACCCAGAAAATAGAAAGGTTAGAAAATATTTTTTTACTTATTCCGGATAATCAAGCTTTCTCGACATGACACCGCCTGGACTAATACGCATTGTCTTTGTTATGGGAAGTTTACGGCAGGCTTCAAAGAGCACACAGTAATATATGAGTAAGAAATGGATGTGGACCTGCACGAGGCTGCGCACGATGCAGAGCGCGTCGTGCACGGAGCGCTTGGCCTCGTCCACGATCATGCGGTTGCCGCCGCGCACCAGCACGGTCACGGCACGCGAGTTCGAACACTGCTCTATGATCAGCATCTCGTCTTTGCTCGTGCCGAATGCTGCAAAATTAAATTATTGCTTAGTCAGAAAACTGCTAACCGTGTATTGCCGTGTAAGAATAGCTACTACTCTATAACGTCTCATCGGTGTCGTAAGAGACGACAGAGGAAAACTGAAACTGGAAATGGGCAAAATCTTCCTGATCACAAATTGAAATAATAAAAAACTACAGTTGGCCAACCCACCTGCCAGCCAAACAAGGCAACTCTGGTAAAATCTATAAAACAATTTATGGAGGAGGCTTACGCTTAGCGATGGACTTTAATAGGCTGTGATAGATGGAAAAACAGCCATTTTTACCCGACTGCCTCAAAAGGTGGGTAATGTTTTTCGAGTGTATGTATTTTTTTTCGGCATGCTCTGTAGCTAAATGGCTTTAAATATTTTTTTATATATGGGGCGTCTTTAGCGTTATAGTTGTGGCGGTGACATAAAAGTATAAATTTATCTTTTCAGTAAACTTTTTTTAAACAGTTTTTTCAAAAAATTTTTACCATTGGGTACGTTCATTTATGAGAGAGTTATGGAGAGCAGCGAATTAAGAAACTACTGCACTGCTATACTATAAACGGGGCAGAGTCTACATGCCCTGAAAACATTGTAAATACAATAATTATAATCTTACCCCTATTTAAGGGACTTAACAATAGTCGCGTAAATAGGGGTTAATATTTTACTTATAAATATAATAATCATTCACTGCTGTATATTATATTCCTTATAGTTTCTCTCATTTAGAGGATATTTGCCATAGTATCCACGGTTAGCAGATAGGTTAATTACCATAGTTTCTTAGTACAGTTTTCAGTTTTCTTTAGCACCTGATTTTTTCTCTAAATCAGGCTTAAAACTAGTTATATACTGAAAAGTAATTGTGACTGACATAACGCATGAGCAGACAAATCATATTTGGCAATTGGCTAGTTATATAGTTCAGAAGACTCAACAACAAAAAGTTTCTGGAATAGCAACCTTGCACTGGCAAGTGCAGTTGTAGGCAGATCTGCCACTAAAAGGAGCGACAAATATACAGGGTAAAATTGAAATCATTGACAACTTAAACTAAGACTATACACATGACACAAGTTATGTTGGAACTAAAACTTTGAAAATAAAATTAGTGAATTTTCAAGTAAGAATTATTACAAAAACTAGAAAAAATGATATAACAAAATAAATAGAGGTGCGTCTTGGTACTACAGTCGAAACCGAATATAACGACGAATCGGTTATTACGACCAAATGGTAAGGTCCCGGCCGAATTCCTAATAAACAGTTAAGTAAACATACCGCTTATAACAACATCGGATACAGCGACATATCGCTTAGAACGACGGAACTTTATCGATATTCATCCGCTATAACGACCAACCGTTATGCTTGTACCAGCAAAATAAAACAATACGAATTTACACATATAACAATACAAATTTTCAAACTTATTCTAATCTATGACTATGAAGAAATGTTTTGACTTATTATTGCCTAGGCACTTTCTCCCATCCCACCCCATCCGAACCTCTTGCGCGCTCTTTGCCATTTGATCTTGCATGTTCCGCGACTTATTTAGTATTATATTTAACAGCGTGAATGAAAGTTTGAATTAATAAGTTTTGGTTTTGATTGTGTGTTTTCGCTTTGCCATGTCACAAATACAGAGGAGTGTTTAATATTGAAGAAAAATCACACGTTATATGGGGATTACAAAATGGCGAGTCAAATAGTGAAATTGCAAAGGAATGTGGAGTCTCAAACTACAATATCAACGATTTGGAAAAATAGAGATAAAATAAAAGCTCTTTTCGAAGAAAATTCTTTGAAAATTAAACGATCGAGGACATCTGAACATAAAGATATAGAAGAGACTTTATTAACATGGTTAAACATAATCCCAATAAGTGGTCCGATCCTGCAACAAAAAGCCAACAACTTCGACCAGATTGTTTTTTTATTTAACCACTGACAAAACACTAAAATTTAAAGGTGAGCAATGCAAGGGTTTGCCGTGTAGTGGCGGTCAAGAATATCCACTACCCCATATCCTCCCGTGGGTGTCGTAAAAGGCGACAAAGGGAAACAGGCAGGAGATGGGCAGCAGCATCTTCCTGATAATAGCCAAAATTACAATAAAAAAACTGCGGTTGCCAACCCGCTCGCCAAGCGTGGCAACTATGGCAAATACCCCCCTATGAATGTAACAAAGAGACGGCCCCCAGTCCCCGGCGGCCCCGCTATTCCTGGCTACGGTGGCGACCATGGTAACGGCGGGGCAGGGGGTGCTAAGAATCTCCGGTTGCCACCTTAGACGACTCGACCTGGCAACGTACAACGCACGCACCCTGAGGACTGACGAGAAGATCGTAGAGCTGGAAGAAGAGATAGATAAGTTGCGCTGGCATATTATAGGATTATCCGAAGTCCGAAGAGAGGGGGAGGACACGGTAATCCTCGAATCCGGCAACTTGCTCTATTACCGGGAGTATAATAAGCTTGCTCTATTACAGGGAGGATAATAGTCTTACAAAAATTTGTCGCTTTTAACGAAGAGTTTAATGCTGATGATAATCAAATAATCTTGACGAGAATGAAACGTAAAATGCAAAATACATTTGAGACTCCGCTTAAAAAAAAACAGACCAAAATGACCAATTACTTTAAAAACTAATTGTAGTCTATAAGCTGTACTGTTGGTCCTGCAAGTCTCAGAATAAATATAATAAATATATTTCAGAATAAACATTTTTACGTTTGTATATACACAAATATTGCTTATAACAACTATCGGATATAACGTCCGAAGTTATATGGTCCCTTCAACGTCGTTATATCTGGTTTTGACTGTACTTATTTTATACTTTATTTTTGTTACCCTTCAAGGCAAAGATTTCCGACGTTAAAAGGCTTTTAGCTCGCCCTTCTCTGTCGCATGCATATTTCAGTTTCAGTTTTATAATGCAGCACAAAGTAAGCAAGTGTGAAATTCGGTGGATAAAAAGTTACTTTATTTGAAATTACTTATTATCAAGAAATAAAAGATCTAAATAAAAATGTATCCAATTAAGAATCTAATTCAATAACACGCTTTTCATATTATCAGAAAACATAATGTATACCATATTACTTTAAAAAAAAAACGAGAACTTGAACATAAATTTTTTCCCTGTTTATTAAATTATATTTTTTAATACAATTGAAATAAAGTGTTTTAAAAATCCATTCGATCCCGAATTTAATTGGGTATTTCATGTGTGCGCTTTTTTCCAAGCATAAACTATTTCAAGAAGATATCAATTGTCGAATGTCAAAACAGTGTTAAAAATACAATGTTTTGTCCAACCGTTATTATGTTCTTCAACTTTCCCTGTACATGTCAGCTTTATAAGGTTCCCTCTGGGATGCTTTTGTCAATAAAACCGACCAATAGAAACCATTTTAGAGAATAAAATTCGGTAAAAAGTAGTCAAAGCATAATATAATTTTTTCTAGTTTGCCAACCAAACAAACCCTTGGCTTGGAAATAAAATGAAATCTCTATATCAGAAGCAAGAAGTTAAAATTTCGTTTGTTGTATTTATTAATTTGTCCATTATTTCAAGTCTACTACAGTTTCAAAATTAGGTTCCTGTAATCACAGAAGCAACGGCGAAAGAAACTATATAGATATAATTTTTTGTTATTATTTGTCTTTTAAAAAAAATATTATGAAAAAAAAATAGTCTCATAGGCAATTAAAAATGTTCTTTAACTGTAAGGATAGTTTTAAGAAAATTGTTGCAGTCCATTAAGTGCATCGATGATCTGCAGATTAAAAAAGATTGTTAAATAAGAAGATTGACAGAGTGGCACTCACTGATCTCGCGCACCAGTCCACAGGAGCCGAGCTTGTCGGGTGTGAGCTCCTCGAAGCGCGGCACGATGCGGCCGCCGGTGGCGATCGCGATCAACTCCATCTCAGGCCCGTGCACCCATCGCACAGCTGGCAGGCCCTGCGACAGCAGCAAGTGGTTTGCCTCGTCGTCGAACCCCCACTGGCAGATGGCCAAAGTCGCGCCGGCATCCTGAAGTATATATTTTTCATTATTACTTTGCCGCTTATCCCAATTAATTTTCCACTAATGTAAACAATGTTAAAACACTTTTAATGGATTAAATAAGAGTCATTAATAGTTTGATATAGGTTTTTAGAATAATTAATTTTGCTCACATTTCAAAATTAAAAACTTTTAAACAAAATAAATATAATTTAAAAATAATTGCAACGCTCTATAAGTCTATAATATAATTTTTATTCATCTTCAAGAGCGGCAACATAGCTTTCTTCATTTTAAGGCACAAATTATGAACCATGAACCACTGAGTAGCATTTAAAATAATGAGATCAGGTATAGCTTCTGAAGACTCCTGCTGGAGTTTAAATCTGAGACCAATCACATGTTCTTCTTTTAGAGTAACATAAAAAGTTAATATTGGAAAAGTAATCCAGTATAGACATTTCACATGTCAATATATACTTATGTAAGTTTCTTTTATAAACATTGTGGGTTATATATAATAGGTTAGCATTTATGTTCAAAAATCATTCATGGATACTTCAGAACAGTTAATGTGATTTCACTATTGGATCAAAACACTATGTGAAATATTAAGGCATCATAAGTATCCACAATTATCTATTTTTGTAATTAAAATATCCTATACTCTTTTATCTATATTTATATTTACATTCTGGCGCACTACGTGCTGTTTCCGAAGGTCAATATCATATGCGAATTTGAATTTCGGTATATCTCGCTGAAGTGTTTGTACAGTGGGGCTACGATTGCTATATGAATACAGAACCAGAGTATGAAACCTACCAATCTGCAGAGGGGTGTAAGACAGAGTGAAGTTAGATCACCAAAACTCATTACTGCTGCATCCAATGCAGGTATTTTCAAGTTACTGGAAAGGTATAGTATCAACATCAATGGCAAGTACATTACTCAACTTTGATTTGTTGGTGTCATTATAGCAGAATAACTGGAGGACCTCAGCACTATGCTTGATCACTTGAATAGTGTCTCCCAATGGATAGGTATTAAGATGAACAATGGCTTAGGACCATGGTGTGTGGTATTACTTGAGGGAGGCCTATATGCAGCAGTGGTCTAATAATGGGCTGTAATAATTATGATGATACTTTTTACCATAAATCTGGTTTTACACATTTTTAACACTAGCCATGCAATTATAGATTTGAACATGGCTAAACATAAAAATCAAATAATTTCAAGATTTTAATGAATGGCAAAAATAATGTATTTAATGAAAAGCAAACATTTCCATCCATTTTTGAATTAATTGAAAGAATGTAATGGCAATTTTTTTTATAATTAGGTTACAGTCATAATAGAGTAGAAAGTTCAACCCAATATTATTTCATTAAAATAATGGAAACAAGATTAAACATTTTGGACACGTCAAAATGGCTATATATCTATTGTTAAATATTCAAATTCACCACGGGACTTATCTCTGTATGTAACTTGCGAATCGGAGGATGTCGGGTATTTCAGCCTCTCAGCCATTACATTCGGGTTTATTGAATATCTGTGCATAATGGTAATGAGCTCCTGATTTCTCGTCATCTTCTACGGATCTATGGGATGCATTGCTCTTTTTGCACTCCACGCGTGTGTTCATAAAATGGTGTACCAATGAACCTACACAACTATTATACTATATAAAATATCATAAGCGTGATCAAGAATTATCCGCAGTATCCTGGTGATTATGCTTGGGAAACACAGAAGACTGCTTTGCAGCTGTTGGAGTATCGCTCAATGTTTAATGATTTGCAGGTGATACAGGTAAGGTGAGTCACACCACACCATATGTACCAAATTTTTGCTATTACTATTTCACTAACCTTAACTTGGCGCACCATCTCCAAAAACTTATCATGTTCATACTGGCGCAGTTCACGGTATTCCTCTACAGAACCAACTTGTAATTTGTGCGTGGTTTTTGGCTTTGGAGGCTCAAATGGACATGTCAGAATGGCCAGTTTCACATCCTGCAAATAATATAACAAAATTGTCAAACAGAATGAAACTTATTTTCATTTCTAAACAGATCCTTTACTTACTTTTAGCACTTTTGGCATCTGTGGGTGACTCATTGTCTTGTCAATGACCACACCACGTACAAGCATAGAATCCTCCATACGACCTCCTACTTTGCCCTCCACTTTGATAAGCTCAAAATTGACGTCGCGTTTTTCTAAATCTGCTACTGACAGCACTGCCTAAAACATGTTTTTGGTATTATATTTCATATATATTATGAATATAATTTAAGTTTTATCTATCGTATGATGTAAAATAGCCAACACAGAAAAAAAACGGTAGATTCCTTCCATTCACTTTTATATTTTTAAAGTTGTTATATACTTTTTATGAGAAAGTGGATGTTCTTAAGTGTCAATAACTATATTCTGTATCTGTATGTATGTCAAAATGAATCCTTATAAAGTTGTTTTGGCTTCATTCTTTTGAGAAAGCCAAAACAACTTTATCACAATTCATACATATACAGTCATCATCTTTTAAAAACTTTAAAGTTAGGAAAAGGACCGCAGTACTTGTGAAAACATAAGCCTGAAACTTAGTGGTCACGACAACAGATGAACTGACATATTACAACAAATATAGGTTATCACTGTATTACATCTACGAAATTTTTACTCTGGAGATTTTAGCAAGGCAATTAAATTTTAAATACTACCTACCAGATTTCCTTTTATTTAGGAGTATAATATAACAAGTAAATAAAACAAATAAATTTTATGTTACAAAAGTAAAGATTGTGTTATAATTCAAAGAAGTACTTAAAGGCATATAGCATCCAATAACTATAACATTCATTATTAGGAAGTACTATTTTACAAAAAGTCTCACATGAATAATTTAATTTTGACTTTAGTTGAAAATGTGAAAAATCTATAATCCTGCCTGTATTGTGTTTTAAATTAGCTGTTTCGATAATGTTCCTGCTCATTCAACTGTCCAAATGTTATTTCACTAAATTGAACGTAAAACCCACAACGTAATAGCCAGTTAATATAGCCATGTTGTAGAAAGAATGAAAAGGTTACTTTTCACACAGAGAATAATCCTTAGAAATAGTCCATAGAGAGTATTCCTCAACAATGCTGCTATACATTACTAAGCTAGAAATTACATAGTGTATAGACAAAATGTATGTAGGGTTAAAAATAAAAGGTTTTTCTATTAAACAAAGAAAAGACATGGTTATAAGCAAATTGAATAAATACTATAAGACCCATTTGTGCTACAACTATACCAGTAATATAGCTGCAGCATCATGGCTCTACCACATGTAATGTTTTATTAAAATAATACAAAATAACCATAAAGTATAAAACTTACATCTACAGCCATTTCTGCCATCAAACGATGACACTTCACAACAACTTTGCTGCCGAGAGTTGTCATTGCCACTTTTATAAGATGCTCACGCGTGTTCTTGTTCACTGGGAATGCTTCACTGATAGAGTCCAAATGTTCTAAAGCTGCTGCAGCGGCCAATTCAAATCCATCAGCAATACGAATGGGATGAATACCTTTGTCAAGTAAGACAGCTGCTTGTTCCAGTAGAGCACCTGTTAGTTAACCAATAAATTGTATAATTTCTAGGATTAACAATATTTGGTAAGACTATAGACATTCGGTACTCGCGTTGAGTGGGAGGGTTCATTGGAAGCCCCCCCCCCACTCTTTCCCCTATGCGGAAATGTATAGTTTACGAGTCGTAATTTTTTTGTAAAATCATTACCACATTTTTTTATACAGGAATATTGCCTCAAAGTTACTTCTGCAACGGTTCGGCGCTGCGGGAAGTGCAGCCCCTTCGACCTTCTGCGATTTGCTACAGTAGGCGGGGGCTGCTCTCCCTCCACGCCTACAGTTTTAAAAAACATTCTAGGGGTAAGACAGGCAAGACTATGTGGTGTCGGGGCGTTCTGATTCAGTTATAGTACAAATTCAACCTATCTTATCTATAAAGTCAGGTTGACTTAAACTCTGCTATGATAGTGGTAAAAGAAACTTAGAATTTTGTTTTCTGAAAAACCTCTTGACTGCTCCACTGCGACTCAATTCGTTGTGTATGAGTCCTATCTTCAGCCACAAATGGATTGTTTGGACCCCTGTAATTAACTTTTTTAGGGTAACCCGTTTTGTTACATGAATTTTCGATTTTGAATTAAATTTAATTTAAAAAACGGACTGTTTTCCGCAACTCCACGTCTAAGCGCGATTTTGCGTGTAACCAGGAATATTTTTATATAGGAGATGGGGCAAACGAGCATGCGGCTCACCTGATGGTAAGTGACTACCGCCGCTCATGAACAAGTGCAACACCAGGGGAACCAGGGGAATTGCAGATACGTTGCCGGCCTTTTAAAGAGGAGTAGGCTCTTTTCTTGAAGGTCCCTAAGTCGTATCGGCCCGGAAAAATCGCTGATGGTAATCGATTCCACAAGGAAGTTGTGCTAGGAAGAAAACATCTTCTAAAGCGCACAGTGGTGGACCGCCAATCATCCAGATGGTGTGGATGGTATCGGGAGTTCTGCCGCGATATGCGTTCGTGAAATTTGGCGGCTGGGATTAATCCAAGCAATTCCTCAGAGCACTCCCCGTGGTAAATGCGAAAGAAAATGCAAAGGGATGCAATATCTCTTCGCAGCGCCAATGAATCGAGCCGATCGGAAAGGACTCGGTCGTCGACGATTCGAGCCACTCTGCGCTGGATGGGGTTAAGTGGAAGGAGCTGGCACTGGGATGCCCCGGCCCAGAGATGGGAACAGTATTCCATGTGAGGCCGAACCTGAGCCTTGTAAAGTTGCAAGCGTAGTGCCGGCATGAAATACTGTCCCGCTCTCCTGAGCACGCCAAGCTTTTTAGAGGCCAATTTGGCCTTCTCTTCCAAGTGACCACGAAACTGCACGTCACTCGATATGTCGACGCCGAGGATTCCGATACTGGCTGAGGCAACAAGGGGAGTGCCTTGAAACTGAGGATATACGACAAAGGGGTTCTTTTTAGCGGTAAACGCGCAAACTTGTCTTCTGAGGATTAAACTGGACTAGATTTAGTCGCCCCCAATCCGAGACTTTGTTCAGCAAAGACACGACTTCAGATAAAAGTTTGTTCCGGTACTCGGCGACGTTTTCCCGAGAAATATTGGCACGGCCTGGTGTATAGAGCATCACCAGTGCTGTCATCCGCATAGCAATGAATGTTACCAGTTTGCTACATATCATTGATATGCAAAAGAAACAGCGTTGGTGATAGCACACAGCCTTGTGGAACACCAGCGTTAATAGGCTTGTAGTCGGAGCATTCACCGTCTACTACGACCTTGATGCTCCGATCATTAAGGAAACTGGTGATCCATTTGCACAATTTCTCAGGAAGTCCATGGGAAGGAAGCTTCGAAAGAAGCGCTTTGTGCCAGACCCGATCGAAGGCCTTCACTATGTCCAAACTAACGGCCAATGCCTCCCCCTTGGACTCTACTACCTCCGCCCATCTATGTGTCAGGTAGACCAGAAGATCACCAGCTGATCGACCCCTACGAAAACCGTACTGGCGGTCACTAATCAGCTGGTGATTCTCAAGGTACCTCATGAGCTGGCAGTTTATAATGGATTCCATTATTTTGGAGAACAAGGAGGTTATGGCGATAGGCCTGTAGTATGATAATGCCGCAAACATGTCTGGTGTGTGTACAATGGCTAAAATTCAAAGCCAAGCACATTTTGCTTTTTTCGTTCCTTGCTCTGTCCTCTCTTAAAATTTAATGGCAACTGTGGCTGCTGAATGTTGCACAGAAGCTTGTAGCTTCTTCAGTTCTTTGTAGCTGAACGAGAAATTTTTAATTTTTCCAAGAATTAATTTTCATACGTGGTAGAGCCATGCTGCAGCTATATTATAGTTGTAGCACGAATGGGTCGGCTCGACCGGGGAAGGACCACGCTCTCACAGAATACCAGCGTAAAATAGCAGTTTAACGCTGCTGTGTTTCGTATGGTGTGTAGAGAACGGGAGACCCTTTTTACTGGAAACGAGGCATTCCATCTTAGTCCTCACGGGCGACAACGCATCTGCATTTTGATTCTTAATTGAAGACAGATGTAGATGTCTATGGGCCACAGCAACCACTTACCATTAGGTGGTCTGTGTGCTCGTTTGTCACCCTTATCTTATAAAAAAAAAGTGATTGAATTAAGCGTATTGAAGCAGTGTGCAAAAGACGTGGGAGAAATACAACCGGAAAGAAGAAAATATATGATGGGACACCTCATAAAGAAATGAGAATGACTTCGAGTGATACTTTCAGGGCTAATACATTTCTCGTCCTCATTGATAGACTCGTATCTGAATTAGAAAATGGTAGGTGTTGGTTTAAAAAATCTTTTGATTTTGGACCAAAATCAACAACATCATCAAGTTCAGCCTTGCTCGGTGTACTTCGGTTTTCCGAGGCTTACCAGTAGCATATGCGATTTTACAGCTTCTAGTTAAGTTACAGGCTGTTTCCAGAATAGTATATTTACAGTGGATACCTTCACATATTGGCTTAGAGGGTAATGAGAAAGCTGATATCTTAGCCAAGCAAGCTATCTCTGATGGCATTGACATAGATATTACCCCTTCATTTCAAAATTACATACCTTTATTAAAAAAATATTGTTATGCTCTCTGGAAAGAATATTTTGACGAAAGATCAAAAGAAAAGGGTATATGGTACCATACGATCCAGCCACACCCAATGCTATCAACCTGGATAGATAACAGAGTATTGTGTAGACGCAACACTGTAACAGCATTAAGACTCAGATCTGGACACATTCCATGCAATAAATTTTTATACTTGATGTGAAAAATTACCTCACCAAATTGTTCAATTTGTAATATTATCGATGATGTTTATCACATTTTGATAGAATGTGCCCAGAACTCAAGAGAAAGAGCAAATTGTAATTTACATTTGTCCTTAATTGGTAGTAGTAACAGTATTTTATCCGATCCGTTATCAGATGATGCCAAAAAACTGTATTTGTTAGTTAATAAGAGATTAAGTAACTAGTAAACATAATAAGTTTATTTGTTAGTAATTATATTTAAGATTTTTTTGTAACTACCAGGGCGGCATAATCGCATCAGCGACAAAGCCCTTTATATATGAATAAAAAAAAAAAAGTTCAGCCCTTACAGAAAAAGCCCTTTTCTTGGAAGAAATGTATCCTAATGATTTAGAGACTGACTTAGTTTAAGAATTCATACATTTTCAATGCCACTTTTCTTTTGAAAGAATTTTGGTGAAACCAGATTCCAGATCATTGAAAATTTTGTCTTCGTTCCTGTGGAACCAGAATTTTCAAAATGTTTATCTAAACTTGGATATAGCAGTCCACATGGATTTATGTACACCAGTAACAAATTTTTCAGGTGTTTAATTTTAAGTAAGAAAAGCGAGAAGCTTTTCTTACTATTACTTAAAATGGCTGAAAAATGATCTAAGATCTACATCTTGGCATGCCAGGATCACTCCCTGAAGTTACTTGCGACATCAAAGGACTGTTCGGGGATATTTTACGACTCAAATAATTACATTATTCCTATCCCCACGCAAAATACGCGTTTAGACATGGAGTTGCGGAAAACAGCCTACCTACACTACACTACCTAAAGTCAAGAAAAGCTAAACACCTTTACCTATTTTGTGCATAGAGTCAGAACTCAAAATTAATGAACAAGATTTCATCCAACGATTGATGATTATTTTGCAAATAGAAAATTACTCAAAAAGGAATTTTAAAATGTTCTACTTGTAATTGAATATATTATTTTTAAACTGTAAGTAACAGCAATAAAAATTATTTAATAACATTTACTGTTGAAGTAGTATTAAGGCAAACCTTCTTACCCCGCCTTATTAGAAGTAAATGATTGAGCTTATATAAGCTCAGAAATATAGCCAAAAGCTATTTCTTGTGCAATCTTACCTAAATAGTTGAGTTGTAAAGATAATATGGGAACTGACACATCGATTTACTAGTTCACAATAATTATATTAATGACGAGACGAGAAAAGGGTGGTGTAATTAATATGATTGTGAACTAGGGCATCGAATTGTAGAAAATTGGTAGGGGTGGCAAAATTAGAATAGCCTACTGGCGGCAAATGTGTAAATCTGCCACTGAAATAATGTACTCAAAACAAATATATTTGATTATTATATATGCAGTAAGTGTACTTACTGCTGAAATTATAAGTAATAAATGTACTCAAAACAAATATCTTTACTTATTGTAACCACAGTGTGTATACTTACTGCAGTAATCATTAGCAATGTTGTAACGCTATTGTAGGCTCCACACTTGCAAACCAATAGTAAGTATATATACTGCTGTATTAATATGTAAGATTTGTAACAATTTAGATCATACTGCTCTTATCATTACTGAATTTATAAGTTCCCGCTGAGATATTAAAATGACTGTCAGACTATATTATAAAGCTCATTACGCTGTTCCGTATCTGTATATAACTCAGTTTGCCCAAAAATTGTACTTACTGCCATTATCACAAACACGGCAGTATAGCCAACCCAATATTACAAATATTGGGTTGGCTATACTGCCGTGTTTGCCATTTGACATTAAATATTCACTAAGAAATAAAGGTTATTTAATTATATCAGCAAATTTTCAAGACTACATTTTTTAAGTGCATGCAATATGTTTGGAGCGTATAGTGATTGATTAGCTGGGAGATTTCTGCCATATTCTTGGTAATAAGATACATTTGAAACCAGAACTTGTATTTTATGTGTGTTTACATAAATACAAAATATAAACTCCATACAAACTTCGACTACATACATATACATTAAATTTACCTGCCAAAACAACAACACCAGTTGTGCCATCACCAATCTCATCGTCTTGACTTTGTGATAGTTGCACCATAAGTTTACCAATCTGGTGTTCTACATCCATCATCTTCAAGATTGTTGCTCCATCATTTGTGACCGTGACCTCACCATCTTGAGTAACCATCATCTTGTCTAGGCCACGTGGACCCAAAGATGTTCGGAGTGTGCTAGCTATTTGCTGGGCAGCTTGAATATGAGACTAAAATAAAACAAGAAGTCATGTAAATAGAAATTATTTCACAAAAAATATTTTCAAAATAAACAAAATCTTGAAATTTAACCAATATAATATAAGTTACAAAATAAATACTGCATAATAAATTTGATCATTAAGCTATGCACATGTGATAGCTAATATTATATATATATATATATATATATATATATATATATCCAGCTTCAACATTAGTACATAAAAAATGTACAGCAATAACAAATTAACTGGTTTTAAAAGCTGTGACAAGACAAAATATTGATCTGATTTCAATGGGCCATTTTTACAAAAAAAAAATTTTGTTCACAACAAAGTGTTCCTCCTATGTACATACGCATACTTCTGTTTGATTTTCTTTAAGTAATGTATGTTGGTTAAATTACAATTAATAGGATTTCAATAATATTATGTAGTTCATATAACTTTCAAAATATTAATCTTCATCAATGCTTCTTTCATTTTTATATAAATTTATTTTTTCATATTTTAAGCAAAAAATCATAAAATGTAGAAATTTACATCAAAAGATATATTTTATTTTAGTTAGTTAGTCACCATAATTTTCACCACAATCAACTCTTGGCTCTGATTATATGCCTATAGTTTTACGTTATTACAATAAATCAAAATTCTTTTATCTTTTACTTTAATATGTTTAAAGCTTAAAAATATATTGTACGATTAGTATAATCAAATCATGTGACAAACACCTGTTTCTAAAAATGTGAAATACTTAAAGAAACTTTAATATTTTTGTAAATTTACAAGATAGGTGGTGTTCAATAGAATAAATGTTAACTTATATTATTATTTCATCGGGATATAAATTGATTATCCTAAAAATACGATGAATTTCAGAGGTAGAGATAAGATTGTAAGTAAACATTAAGAATTAGTGCATTACAATGCGGATAAGAATGGTCATGAAAATAATAAAGATTTACTTGTGTATCCTTATTTAAGATTTTGGGGAATTATATTAAAACAAGTACCTTTAAAGCATCGATACCGGTAAGCCGTTTTTGTCTTTCTTGGTCCCTTAAAATTATAAATGGACGACCAAATTCGTCAAAAGCAACAGTTCCTGGAAACATAGCCATTTGTACGATTTTCTAGTCACACAAATTCAAGATGCAAACAGATATAGTTTTCACTAGTTATTATTTTCTAATATTTTTCTTATTGTCCTCGACCTGAAACCGAATGAATTTGACAGTGACAGATGACAATTGACAATTGATATTTGTTTGTCTGTGAATTGTTGAATTGAGGTAAATTGATATTTGTTGTTTTTATTATTCGCTCGAAAGAGCAGGCAAAGGAACTATGCCATACAGCCTTGTCTTTTTTATTTTGAATATATAGAATTTCACTGCTCCACAATATGTTGATGCGTCATATTGTGCAGCCCTTGGGAGATTTTGACGGCAACTTGAGCCAGCAGACAGCTGACAGTTGGCGATGGTATCTAAAGGCGCCGAAGCAAACAAACAGCTTATCTTGAGAATCCATCACCATCAGAGCACTTGTTTCACCGTTTCCACTAATAGTTCACATGCGTAGACAGTTAATACATAAAATTGCACCACTTTTACATATCTAATTCCACTTCAAACTATTATTTCAACGGTACGATTTTCCATTGCCTGCCGTCGAGTTTGGTGTTGATACATAATTTTACAGAAAGGTTACATGTTTATAAGCACACACACACTGTTTAAATATTCCGCATATTTAAACACGTAAGTTTTGAGAAATAAATTAATAAAAATCACTTATTTAAACATAATTTTGTTTTTGTTTTTAATTGGCTTTACGGCTCTGGGTTCTAGCCCTTTTGAGCCTATTTTATTACGAATTTCCATTGACATTCGTCGAATTGAGGGGGGGGGCGGAGGTGTAGGGGGACTAATTCAGAGGCATTTCTGTATCTTTTTTGAGACTGCAACGTCTCCGGCGCTGCGGTAAGAGCAGCCTCTACACATTTACGTAACAAATCGACCAACAAGCCGAAGCTGCGGAGGCGAGGAGGGATGCCTGCGATTTGTTACAGCAGGCGGAGGCTGCTCCCCCTCCGGTTCTATATAACCACTCTAGGGGTAGGACAGACTCGTACCGCGTGGAGTCGGGGTCAATAAATTTGGTTCTTTGACATTAGTAGAACCAAACCAGAACCAAACCATTAAAACTGATTTAAATGATAAGAGATCATTTATTGTATTATCTTTCTTTTTTTCCATAAGATATGTTTATTATGGTATCTTATAAATGCAAACAGGAAAATATATCTATATTTTAGAAATCCATTTTTTGTGAATTCACGACAGCTTACGATTCGAATCGATTTAAAAGTCTATCTTTTTCGGAAAGAATCGACATCCGTACTGACGACGACAATGACATTTCAAAATGGTGCCAGTTTTACGCTAGTAATGTAACATAAACATTGCAAAAATAATTAATTATCAAATAATGTTTTTTCTCAAAAAGTACGCGTTTCCGCATATTGAAACTTTGTGTGTGTACTAAAATAGTGTAACACTTCTGTAAAAATACGTATCAACACCCAACTCGACGGAAGTCAATGAAAAGCTCGACGAATGTCAATGGAAATTCATAATATAATAGGCTCAAAAGGGCTAGAACCTAGAGCCGTAATAAGTAATTTTTATTAATTTATTTCTCAAAAATTACGTGTTTCCGCATATTTAAACATTGTGTGTGTGCTTATAAAAATGTAACCTTTCTGTAAAAATACGTATCAACACCAAACTCGACGGCAGAATCGACTTAACATGTCGTGTGTCGAGTTCCATCGTGTGACTACGTCTTGTTTTAATTTTAATTCTGGAAGACCCATTTGCTGTTGAATTTCTTTTAATTTTGCCAATGCTGACGAAGTCTTCTTGAAATATTCCACAATAGACTTCACTTTTATGACAGTATTTTTAATTTCTTTTAAACCTGATTGTACAACCAAATTTATAGAATGGGCAAAACATCCGATATGTTTCCAGCCACCCATCCTAATATCAGCCGAAATATTGGCGGCATTGTCACTTACTACAGCAACGACTTTGTTTTGAATCTTCCATTCGACAATTTTTGCTTGCAAAGATTGGCACAGATTTTCACTCGTATGTCTGTCAGAAAATGAAAAACAATCTAAAAGATATGACCTCATAATGTTAGTATTATCTGAATAATGGGCGGTGACAGAAACAAAACTATTTATCGACGTCCAGGAATCGGTAGTTAGACAGACAGCCCAGGCGGAGTCTATGTTAATCTGAACTTTTTCCAAACATTCCCGATACATTTTTGGCAAAAGACTATTCGATACAGTTTTTCTAGTCGGTAAACGGTAACCAGAAATAATCATGGCGAACAATTCTTTTATTTCTGGTTGCTCTACGAGCGAAAATGGGTGATAACTTTTGACAATTATTTTGATGATTTGTTTGTCGATCTCATTAATTTTTTTTAACAGGCACGGGTTCTTGAATAAATTCTGCCATAGTGGATTGTTTTGGTGGTCCATGAGAAGTTAATGGTAGGGAGGTATGTGACGTTGCAGCTACTTCATTTTGAGATAGAGACGTAAATAATGACGTATATGGTACTGGGTCTGGTATTGATGTTGATGACTGCTGTTGAATTGTATTCTGTTGTCTGCTTAATTGTATTTGAATTGTAGGATGTTTCAGTTTCAAGTGCCTGCTCAAATTACCGATGGATTTATTGGGTATACTCAAAATTTGTGCAGAATAACCACATTTTGCTTTGTTGTCCGTGAGCTCACTGAAATGGTTCCACAATGCACTTCTCTTTCTTGTTGTAGGCATTTTAATAATATATATATATATATATATATATATATGTGTGTGTGTGTGTGTGTAAGAAAATAAATGTCTTAGTTAATGTATTAGGTTTATTACCTTTACCTTAGAAAGTCAACTACTACAAAGTACGAACACGTAGAATTTTTATATAAGTACACATATTATTTACTCATTCACTCATTCACTGAGAGTCCGAAACAAAAGTCACTAAAAACTAGCAAACTAAACCTATTTACACAAAATAACAATGTCTATTTACACAAAACAAAATTGTCCATTTGCACAAAACAACAATGTCTATTTACACAGAATTCTCTCGTAAAGTCTCATTGCTCTAACTTTATGATGGAAAAGAAGAAAGTAAGTCACAATAGTGATTATTGATGATATATACGCAAAGAAATCCTAAATAGAAATCAGTATGTTTTCGTAAACTGGCGCGAACGAACATAAACAATTTGACAAGTGCTGCATTAACGTTAAATAACAACTTGTAATAATAATGTGTGCATTAAAAAGTAATAATTTTACATGCAAAAAACGACCGCATTGTATTTGATACGTAAGCACCTTAGTGGTAATTTTTACGTGCATGAATAACGACAGCGAAAATCCATAAGAGTTAAGTGATACATTTCTCATTTGTCATCTCTTTCTGACTTGTATAGATCGCCTCGCCTCGCAAGCGACGCGTCGCGCGAAATGAGCAAAGAGCAAAGTAATGTTTCACTGTTCCAGTGATACATTTAATATCACTGGAACAGTGAAACATGATACATTTGATACATTTATACAAATAATACATTTGAAACGTTGTTACTGAACCAATATTTTGTATCACTTCAGTGATTCGGATCAGAGAGTCGTTTCCGTAAAGAGATACACACCCCTAGTACTAATCGCGCGCTCGGAAGTATACGGTCGTTTACCTACATATTATTTAACTTTATTTAAAGCGTTCTGTCAGTCTTTCTATACCGGTGGTCTGTGGGTGACTTATACACGCCGGACCTACAGCGCCCTGCGTGTTCAATATAACAACGCTTTTAGAATGCTGTTGAGGCTGCCGTGGCGCTGTAGTGCCTCTAAAATGTTCGCAGACGCACACACTAATGACTTTTTCGCCATAATGCGTAGAAAAGCAGCGTCTCTCCTGCAGCGCTTACGTACCAGCAACAACGGCATCCTAAGGGTAATTGCTGCCAGGCCCGACTGCCCCATACTGCACCACTGTATGACGGTAGCTATTGGGCGAAAAAAATAATTTGTACATAATTCACATTAACTAACAATACTAACTTACAAGTTAAGAAAAAATTGTTACTAACATACTAACAATCTATGGATGTTCCTTACGTCTGAAATAAATACTATTATTATTATTATATCGAATGTCAGAGTTAATGTCAGGTTGACTGTATTAGATAACATAATACTTACAACAAACCCAACGACTATATAATAATTTTCAACTAATAATTTATGAATAATCTAATCTAGTATGAATAATCTAATCCAATGTAATCAATATTATTTAGGATGAATAATTTCATCTAATAATCTAATCTATTATTTTGAATAATGTAATCAATGAACTATAAATAATAGGGGGTCATTGTAGAAGCGTGCTCGTCGCGACCCCTGCCAGCCCTTTTCAGGGCTGCAATTCTACTAGCTGCGCACCCATGCCAACGAGGGTTAGGGCGTCCCCCCAAGGCGACGCACACCAGCTCGTCCCCGTTGGTGTGGAATGCAGCGTGCAAAGCGGCGATGGGGACCGCCACCCGTCACGCACAGCCCGACACGGCGGAAGGTGGAGGACAGAGTGCAGAGTTGGCACGTGGAATGTTAGAGGAGGCATGAGAGATAAGACGAATGAGTTGATCGAAATAATGAAAGAAAGAGAATTAGATGTCGTGTGTATGTCGGAGACCAAACGGAAGGGCAGTGGTACTGAAGAGCTCCCTGGCGGGGCGTTAGCTCTATGGTCAGGAGTCCCGGAGAGCGAGAGCGCCTGCCAGGGAGTGGGGGTGCTGCTGTCTTCTCGGTTGGTCGATGTTATGACTGAATATAAGGTTGTGAACACAAGACTTCTCTGGGTTCGCTTTAAATTGGGACTGACGAAGTTATTCCTTTTGGCTGTTTATGCGCCGGTAGCTTCGTCGTCCAGGGCTGAGCTGGAGGAGTTTTGGGAGAATGTAAGAGAAGTTCTAGATTTGGCTAGGGGAAACGAAAGAATTGTTGTATGTGGTGATTTGAATGGATGGGTTGGTACCGCTCGACCAGGGTACGAGTCGGTACTTGGAAAGTTTGGCGATAAAAGGGTTAATGATGCTGGCAAGCTTATACTGGCGGTGTGCAAGGAAAAGGGTCTTCTTGTGACAAACACTATGTTTAATCACAAGAAAATCCATATGTATACTAGAGAACGAAAGAATGAGAGAAGTATGATTGATTTGTTCCTGGTGGATGACCGACTGCGAAAACAGGTGATGGATACGCGAGTGTTCAGGGGTGCTGACCTGGGAACGGATCACTATCTAGTGATTACTAGATTTAGGGGTCTGTTCGCGGGTTGGCGCTACCGGACGGCAGTAACAGAACCACAGTCGGTCTGTCGCATCCGAAGCTGGAAGCTTCAGGAAGCGGATACTAGGGACAAATATCATGCGAGGGTAGCCGAAAAGCTTGACACCATCGATGGCAGAAAAGAATGTGTAGAAAGAACTTGGCAGAACCTTAGGGATGGAATGGTAAGTGCAGCGGAAGAAGTGTGTGGAACAATAAAAAGAGGCAGTAGTAAAAGAAGAGATGCATGGTGGAATGATGAAGTGAAAGAAGCTGTAAAGAAGAAGAAGAAAGCATGGTTAGACTACTTGGCCTCTAGTAATGATAAGGATATGAGAGAGAAGATGAAAGAAAGATATAGGCTGCAGAAAGTTCACACGAAAGCACTGATTGAGGAAGTGCGTGAAAGGTGTAGAATGGAAGCGGACGAAAGGTTGTCGCACAACTTCAAGGAGAACTCCAAACTCTTCTGGAAAGAGGTTGGAAGGACCCGAAGTGGTGCGACGGCCTTAAGAATGAACAAAGTGCTTTCGAGAACTAATGACGTCCTCTCAGAAAAATCGGACGTCATGCAGCGATGGAGGGAATTTTATAGAGAAATGTATGCGTGTGATGATCTTAGTGAGGGATCCGGGGATGACGCCGTGACTGGTACGCCAGACCCGGACCTCGATGACACTGAGGTCATCAGGATGAAAGAGATTGAACGTGCGATTCGAAGTTTGAAATGTGGTAAGGCTGCGGGACTAGACAGAGTTACTGCTGAAATGGTCAAGTATGGTGGGCCTCGCGTCTGGGACAGCTTTCATCTGCTGTGCAATTTGTGCTGGCGGACGGGGGATGTCCCGGATGATTGGCGATCCGCAGTCATTGTGCCTTTATATAAAGGTAAAGGTTCACATTTTGACTGCGGGTGCTATCGGGCGATCAGCTTGACCAGTTTAGCAAGTAAAGTTTACTCGAAGGTTTTTACACGTAGGATGCAAGAGAAATCGGAAAGATTTCTATGGGAGGCACAATGCGGATTTAGACCTGGAAGAGGATGCACGGATCAAATGTTTTCTCTCCGCATGATCACGGAGAAGCTTCTGGCTGCTAACCAGAAGATTTTCTGTGCTTTTGTGGATCTTGAGAAAGCATTTGATAAGATTGTAAGGAAGAAAATGTGGGAACTGTTGCCGGGGTATGGTGTGGATGGTCGATTGCTAAGGGCTGTGCAGTCTCTTTACTGTGACTGTAAAGCCTGTGTGCGGGTAGGGCATGACCTGTCACCCATGTTTAACGTCCAAACGGGCGTAAAGCAGGGTTGTGTCATGTCTTCCTGGCTGTTCATACTGTATCTCGACAGCTGTTTACAGAAGCTGAAAGATAGTTGTTTGGGTGTGAAATTGGGTGACATTAAAGTAAATTGTCTGCTGTATGCTGATGATGCAGTGCTTATTGCACCATCAGAGGCAGAACTACAGGCATTAGTCACGTGTATGAAAGAGGAATGTGAAATTAAAGGTCTCCGTTTGAATGCTAATAAAACTAAGGTTCTGGTATTTGAAAGGGACGAAGAGAGAACGAAGTGTGAAATATGGGTAAATCAGGAATGTCTAGAACAGGTAAATGAAATTGTATACTTGGGGAGTGCTTTTAGCCGGGATGGAAGATGTGATTTAGATGTGGACAGGCGTGTCGCTGCCGGGAACAAAGTCAATGGTGCCCTGACTGCGTTAGTCAAAAGGCAAGGCGTAGCGAAGAGTGCACGCCTTGCAATACATAACGCAGTGTTGGTACCGACTTTGTTATATGGCAGCGAAACCTGGGTATGCCAGAAGAAGCATAAAAGTAAGTTGAATGCAGTGGAGATGCGATCTCTTCGTAAAATGTGCGACGTTACCATGGCCGACCGAAAGCGAAACGAAGAGATTCGCAATATGGCAGGTTTGAAAGATGACCTTATTACAAAAATTGATAAGGGCGTGCTTCGGTGGTTTGGGCACGTTAAGCGAATGAGTGAAGACCGAATGGTGAAGAAAATATATAGCGCGAAAGTTAATATTAAAAGGTGTCGAGGTAGACCGAGACTAACTTTCGAAGACCATGTGAGCAAATTGCTCGAAGAGGGTAGGGTCAAAAGTACTCGGATACCTAGACGTGCATGCATGAAGAAGATAATGAATCTGAAAGAAGCGAAAGAGGTTTGTAAGGATCGTGACACTTGGCGATCTGTTCTCTCTGGCTACCCCGTCAGGGATTGTGCGTGAAGATAAGTATAAGTATAAGTATAAATAATATGTGACATTTATATGCCCATGAGGCTGACCACATACTGAACTTTATTTGTGTTTAAATAAGACCTTTTTGTTAACTGTGAATCACAAATAAACTATTTGATTTGATTTATAAACTAAAGTATTGAACATTTAGCGTTTGAAATGATTATATTTATATGTATAGTCACGGTGTGTAGTGCTGTAAAAAAAAAAAGAAAATGGAAGCGGGCTTTGGTAAAAAGACAGTCAGATAATTTGCCAAAAGTGGATATTTTTATGGTTGCGGAGTATTTTTCAGAAAATTATGATTTTTTTATCATCAGAAATGCGTGAAATAAAGCTCTAAAGGTAAGTTACTAGTTACTAATAAAAGATTACGAAGAGTATATAGCTTTACCATCGATTAGTAACTAGGCAGTAATACATAGGTAGGTTAATAAACTGACCGAACCACGAAGTTGCACATGATTTACAACGACATAAAATGAAAAAACTTACTAATGCAGTGAGTATTAATTAACTCGTACTGTTATTTAGTACCTAGTGACACGTAAAGAAATTTTGTTGGTTACGTAGTTCGTCAGTCGTTGCAAATATATGGTCCTAGTTTTACTTTGACTTTTTTTATCAATATGGCCCCTGGAATTGTGGTTATGTCACAATAATTCTGCCAATATCTGGTCTTTGGTCTGTCACACCTTGTCTTGAGGCTTTTTGATGGGAAATGAGTTAGCGGTTATTAGATGAAAATGTGGATTAAAACAAAGCAACTAAATACATGAATTGTGGACCACACAATATAGAGCAAACATCTAGTTATAGGAATGGATTACTTTGACTTACTTTTGAATAATCTGATTGCGGTATTACGTTGGCAGTTGGTACCTATTCTGTTTTGAAAATGCAATGGTCGCAAACATTCAATACGTGTAATACTAAACTGACTTTGATGAAATTTTGCATTAAGGTGTTACTTGATCTACAGGATTTTAAATTCTCATATCGGACTTTTATTCCCACGGAGCGTGATATAACAAAAATTTAAAAAAAATAAAGTTTACTGATAAATAAATAACATGACAAGAAAAATATGGAGTAATAAATATGGAGAGAATAAGAAAAATATAACAATAAAGACTACTGGTGGCTTCGACGTGTCGTTTTGTGACGTCTCATCGCGATGCGGAGCAAAGCGGTCGCCCTTACCGTAAAACACCTCTTTACTCATTAATATTTCAGTCATTTTTAAGGGTAGAGAAAAAAAATAAGAATACCGTTGAATTCGTAATTTTTTATACAATTTTTTGATACCCTTAACAAAATTGGATGGCCAGACCCATTAACAATTTCATTGGTGCTGGCGGCAATCGAAACCGAATTGCTCATATACTGTGACATTTACAGCGAGCACTTATTCCCTGAGCTACCATGGCATATATTTTGATTTAATAATAGCAAATGTATAAAGAATAATAGTGTTACGAGCTTGGGGTTCGAGACAATTAAAAACTGCCGAGTAATATACCAAAATTGACACTTTAATTACAACTTAAAACCACTCTAATAATAAAACACAATTGTACTTCTGATTACTTTAGTTCGCAGTTGTATCGCATCGGAGTATTCGCTTGTATCGCCAACTCAACTGACCGGGTCTCGGTCTATACCGGCTTTATATAGGACCTCAGATAATTTCCAGGACTTCTTCAGAATATTCGAGTACATACCTGGTTCGACTAATTAGGTGTCGATAATTTTAGAAAGTTCTTCCATGGAAAATTCTAGAAAGATCTTGACTCTCCTAGATCTTGACTCTCCTAGCTACTCGATACTAGTGGGCGCTAGTGGTAACTAATGCTACCATATACCAGGCATTAATGGTGGCGTTCAACAATAGTATTGTGTCATAATAAATAAAGGGTAAATATGGTTTACTGTTCTATGTGTATGAACAGTAATAGAATGGATTATAGATATAGTATACATTAGATTGGCCATGGAGTGATTAGAGTGAGACCAAAATCAAAATACACCAGTGTGCGTGAAATGTGCATGTTTGGAAAACAAATAGTGCTGCACCGTGCACTTCCTGTCTCAACTTAAATTATCAATATCGTTTGCAGTATATTCGTGTCTTCTGATTTGTCGCAGATGATGTAAGTGAATATTTTTACCCGACTACGGCGAAGCCAACAGGATGGTTACAATTTTAGAAGGCTATGTATGTATGTATGTTCACCTGTTCATTCAGATCTTCTAAAGTACTCATCGTATTTTGACAAATTAGATATCTTAAGAAGCATTGTGGCCTTTCGTGCGGGCTTTACCTTCCCAAAACTGAAATAAATATTGAAATATCGTGTTTGGTTTAAAATAAAAAGTGTAATTCGGAATGTTCTCATCATTCCGAAAATATATGTTATAAAAAAGCTTACTACATTATTATTTATTAGTTAACTGTTTTTATAAAACGGTAGTAACAAACGAAGTTACAGCCCACCTGATGATGGCAAGTGGCTTCTGCGACCCATGGATACTTGCAGCTGATTTCAAACAAAGAAGGCTACGTCGTTGTCACCAATATTTTGACTCATATTAATTTATAATTAAAATAATAATTAATTTGTATGTAGCATTTCAGTGTATTGAATGGTGGTAGTGCTGGGATAGGATAGGGACGGGTATAGTGCGCGCGATTGAGGGAGGGTGGGAGGTGAGGGAGGGTGGGAGGTCCCCTTAAAACTAGGCAGAACACTTCATTTTCTTTCTTTACGCGGAATTAAGCAAATTAGTTTATAACAACCCCATTTTTTCCCCTTAAAACTGGGCAGAACACATCATTTTCTTTCTTTACACGGAATTAAGCAAATTAGTTTATAACATTTCAATGTATGTTATTACTATCATGTTCTGAAATGCAGTTGGGACTTAATTTCGAACTTTTCATTGCTTTCGGGCAGGTATGGGCAACCTTTGACATGTTCAGGCTCAAACTTTAGCGTGCAAATACGTTTGCGGGCCGCGTTTAAAAGTACTTAGTGCATTTTAAAATTTTTAAAGTAGTGATAATATTTTTTTCGATAGATATTAGACATGAAATAATACGACAATGTTATTGTTGCGCGCCACTATTAATGTCTTGTACATGGCAACACTAGTTACACTAGCGCCCCCTAGTGTCGAGTAAATGAAAGTATTGCGCGGCACTATTAATGTCTTGTACATGGCAACACTAGTTACACTAGCGCCCTCTAGTGTCGAGTAGCAGAACTAGGAGAGTCGAGATCCTTCCAGAAATTTCGGGACCGATATGTACTCGAACATTCTAGATGTCGCTACAGTAGAAGGTTCTGGAAACTATCTGAGGCCCTATATAAGGCCGGTATAGACCACGACCGGGGCAGTATTGAATTGGCGATACAAGAGAATACTTCGAAGCGAAATAACGGCGAACTGTGTTATATTATTAGTGTGATTTTAGATTGTAATTAGTGTTGTGTAATTAAAGTGTCAATTTTGGTAATTCAATCGGCAGTTTTTAATTGTCTCGAACCCCAAGCTCGTAACATTATTATAGTACAATTTATTAAAATAACAAAATAAAATATAATAAAATGGTACATTATAATAAAATCGTTAAATTCACAATTGTTACAAACTACGAAAGTTAAATACACCGAAATCAATGAGACACTTGAGCTTGAATTTGGGAAACTAATAAATCGATATTTGGATTAATTCCACTGATACAAAGACGTAAAGAATTTTTCAAATTATCGTCAGTCAGTCTTGTACTATGTGTTGATTTATTAACTTTCATCAATGAAAAGAACTGTTCGCATTTATAACTATATACTGCCAAATGCACAAATCAATCTTCTTGCGAATTTTCTGAGCTGCGGAAAATTGTCTTCTTCTAGGTATTTTTTGTAGAAATCGCACAACTCTACGTCTTCAAATTTGTATTTTAGGAGTGAGTTTTCTTGAATCTCGATCAACTCCATTTGTAAGTGTATTGGAGCATTTTGTACATTATATTTTATAGGAGTAACAAATAAACTGAAACAGTCTTCCATGTTTTTGAAGTCGCTAAATCTGTTCGAAAATTGTTCCGACAGTAACTTGAGTTCTTCAACATATTGAGCATAAGCAATATTTTCATACGCAGAGAGCGTGTTGAAATGGTAACAGTTACGAGACAGCATCTGTGACTCCCACAAGCGTAGTTTGATCTGAAACGCTTTCAAATGGCTGTACAAATCATTTACTAACTGTCCTTGTTTTTGAAGTTTAAAATTTAAATAATTCAAATAACCTGTAAGATCGACCAGAAATGCCAAGTTACATATCCATTTTGGGTCACTTAATTCAGATAGTGGTTTATCTTTTATTTTCATAAAGTCTGCTATCTCATTTCTAAGCTCGTAAAACCGTTTCAACATTTTTCTTTTGCTCAGTCATCTGACTTCACAATAATATGTTACGTTGTTATATTCAGCTGATATTTCATCCAAAAACGCCTTGAACTGACGATGGTTAAGCCCTCGGGATCGAATAAAGTTGATGGTTTTTACTACCACATTCATAACATTCTGAAGTCGAATGGACTTAGAACACAAGTTCTGTTGGTGGATAATGCAATGAAGGACTATCAAATCATCTTTTTGTACATTTAATTCTGTTGCTTTTTCATTCAAAATTCCGATGAAACCTTAACGTAAACCGACCATAGAAGGTGCACCATCAGTGCATACTCCAATTAATTTTGACCATGGCAAGCCAAAACTTGTGAATACCTTTTGAACTTCAATAAAAATATCCTCTCCTGTAGTGGTTCCTTTTAGCGGCTGTAAAGCAAGCAATTTCTCAGTAACAGTGAACTCTTTATCAACACCTCGAATAAATATAGCCAGTTGAGCTTATCTCGCAAATTTCTAACATACACTCCTTCATAAATTCTCCTTCGACGGCTCGACGCTATTGACGGCTCGCTAGGATATCGCTTGTCCAAGTTATCACCTCGGCAGCTCATATAGAACTGAACTAACGTTCTGGCCATCCACCCGCTTATATAGGCAAAATGAAGGAATAATTTAGAATAAACTAGTTTAGAATAATTGAGAAGCAATAAATCTTTTGATGTGTCGCTCGTGAGGCGGCAGAATTTGATCAAGCAAGCCATCAAATCCTTTGATGATTTGATATTTGCCGCCTCACTGTCACTCCCGTGAATATAAGTACCTAATGTAATATTTTTTTAATTGGGCTTTTTCAAAATGTTTCGCAGGCCGGAACATATCTTACAGCGGGCCGGATCCGGCCCGCGGGCTGGTTGTTGCCCATATATGCTTTAGGGAATAAAAAATCACACACAAAAATTGTTAGAATTATATTTTCCTTCAAATAGAAATAATTTATTGTAAAAATGTTATGAGCTCTCCTTACAGATATTTTACAATTTTTCTACATACTTTATTCTAATAATTTATTGTTTAGTGTTATAGTTGGATATGTTGTAGTTTTTCCATTATTGCACCTCTGTGAGGGAATATTTTTTCGTTAAATAATTTGCTGTATGTAAACGAATATTTCTTTTGGGAACCCATTCTTCTCATTTAATATTTTCAACCATTTTTTGTCGAACATCAATATTTTATGAAAATCCACTACAACATCCACTTACCAGTAGGTGAAGAGTGAGCTCGTTTGTTACCCAAATTTTATAAAATTTATTTTTTCATACGAAACAAAGAATATTCAGCTACGAAACCCTAAAAATTTAAAAAAAGGTATAACGAATTTGAATAAGGGTTCATGCTAAGCATACTTTTGCCAGTCAGAAACATATCAATTAAATGATTAAATGTTATCGATAGTGTCAATATACAGTAAATTATGATGTCGATATCAACCAAGGAGGTTATAATATAATATAGAGAGTGAGCGCTTAGAACATTGTAACTGTATCTTCATTTTTCTTAGAAAAGAGGCACCGAGTTTAGTATTTTATCCCCTTCTAACATTAATAAGTATTTACACAAGATAAAAACATTACCAACGTTTAGACAGTTATTGACTTAAAGTAATATTTTAGACGTATGCTAGAACGATAATTTTACATTTTTTATCGCTAATCATAGTTGGTATATTCCATATTGTATTTTAATTAAGCTTATTATTAAGTAACACGAAAAAAACCACTAAAACACTTTAATGTATGAAATTTATGACTCCAAATGTCAAACAAATAAACTCTAATGTAATTTTAAATGGAGAGAAACTGACTCTTGTCACTTTGTCACTTGTTGTTGTGATACCACCATTTTTCTTGGAATCACATTAGATGCCAAGCTTCAATGGAGCCCCCATATATCAAAATTAGCAAGCAGACTTAGCTCTGCAGCATATGCTGTGAAAAGGTTTAGAAGTCTTACCAGTGTTAAAACAGCTAGACTAGTTTACTTTAGCTATTTTCATAGCATAATATCGTATGGTATTTTGCTATTGGTACACGCATCTGACACTGAAATTATATTTGTTTTACAGAAGAGAGCCATAAGAGCAATTTATGATTTAAAGCCTAAAGAGTCGCTGCAACAAAAATTTAAGGAAATTAATATATCAACTTTGCCCTCAATACATTTATGAAAATGTAATGTACATACAAAAAAATAAAAGTAGTTTTACAAAAATAAGTGATATGCATTATGTAAATACTAGGAACAAACACAAGCAAGTAGTAGCAGTCACCCGACTCCATCGAGTCAGTAATGCATTCTTGGGGCGATGTATACGCTTTTACAACAAAATCTATCATCTACATCTATCCTAGTTTGCGAATCAAAATGCAGATGCGTTGTCACCCGTGAGGACTAAGATGGAATGACTCTTTTCCAGTAAAAAGGGTCTCCGGTTCTCTACACTTACCATACGAAATACATCAGTGTTGAGCTGCTATTTTACGCTGGTATTCTGTGAGTGCGTGGTCCTTCCCCGGTCGAGCCAACCCATTTGAGCTACAACTATACTACTTATATAGCTGCAGCATGACTCTACTACGTAGAAAACGCCTTGTGCCAATCATTCGCTAAATCTATGTGGAGTGCACTCACTTAGGGAGCTTTAATTCAAGTTTAACTTTTTTTCGGAACAGTAGAAAGAGTTTACAGGTTCTTTTCATCATCCACACGCCAATGGGAAACTTTAATAAAAAGTGTAGGCGTATCCGTCAAAAGACTCTCGGAGACAAATTAATTGCTCATCATGACGTTGTTAAACCACTGCAGAATAATTTAAAAAAAAACTAGTGTAAACACTCGATGATATATATGATCCCAGTACCAACAGAGAAAACGTCGATACAAAAGAAGCAGTATCTACACTCTTACCAGCTTTGTGTGACTTCAGTTTTTTATGCTATCTTTCCTTTTGGTGTTAAATCCTACTAGAAGTTAGTTAGACACACAAGCAAATACTAAATATACTGAACATACTTTTCCAGGGATAATCTAGATTATAAATAATCTAGATTATCACTAAAAATTATGAGATAAAAATTAAAGCCCAAAAATTTTTCTTCAAAGCCAACGTATTTAACTAGTGGAAGAAGCTATTCCCTACGTAACAAAAAATGTGAGAATGTGGAAATTTCGATTGAAGGAAGAAGAGGAATGAGGAGATTTCGAAAAAGTTTACCAAGAGAAATGGTTCGATATGCTGGACTAACATTGCCAGAGGAGCTGCAGAGAGCTATGTTAGAATGTCTTGAAAGATTTTACGAGGAACTAGACTATCGCTACTGAGCAATGGATGATATTCTCGTAACATTAAGTGTTGTTCAGCCTTACACTCTGCTAACGTCACCAGATGAAGATTTTCAAATAATAGTTCAAAATCAGACAAAAATCTGCAATGATTTTTCTGCAGGATATATAATTTTGGAGACGTCACGACTTGAAAGCTACCAGCATTTCTTCCCAAGAAGCGGTTCAATGTAACTCATTGGAGCTTTTCTCGTAAAATTGGGCTATTCTGGATTTGGTCCGAATCTAACGCTGTATCTAAGATTTTTTTTACTATTAAATTTCATGTGAAGGAAGCTTATCAAAACTCAAGTTAATAAAATATAACTTAAGGTCCACAATGAGCCAAGCGGGACTAACCAATCTTTCCATTTTATCTATCGAAAATGACAAAAAGTAAGCTTTGATAATATATTAGAATATTTTAGCAAAATAAAGTCCCGTTAGCATGTAAGTATAGCAGTTTTTGTTTTATTTTGGGGGTAGCTTGATGGAAAACCGCCCTGGGTGACACCCACCCACGCTACGCCGCCACTAGTTACCGTAAGTTTTGATACTGTAGCGAAGCAATAATGTAATCAAAATATTAAACGGAGTTTAATTATAACACTATTCAGCACTTTCCATATTGAAAAAAATACGCATTTCGTTTTCCGTGATGCTGTATACACTAATAATATTCTCAAAATATTGTACCATGGACACTCTATTAGAAAGAAATGCAACGCCTAACTCGGTGCCTTTCATTCATTTCAAGGCACAGATTACCTCCTTAGGAGTTAATCTGTGTTTCAAGGTCACTGATTTAGGAACGTTTCTCTAGTATGAAGTGCGCACTCCCTATATTATATTATAACCTCCTTGATATCAACAAAATAATGATGTGACTCGAGTGAAATTTTTTTACTAGTCACTCGCCAGTGATAGCCTTATCACTCGAATGCCACTCGAATGAAGAAAATTCGAGTGATTTTTTTTACTAGAGTTACTCGCCTGTCAAAAACTAACTGTTTTCTACGATAATGTAAAGGTTATAAGCATAGATTACTGTATATAGTTATGTCTTGACAAATCATTTTGATTAGAATCAGTGCTGCCAACGTAGGCGATTTTTCGCCAATTAGGCTACTCGGGATGGAAATCGACTACGAAAAATTCTGAAAGGCGACTGGTCGCCAAATAGGCTACTAGAGAGACGAACGATCGACCGTCAATTAGACTGAATCGCAACAGAAGTTAATGTTAGCGTAAAATGATACCTGCTACGCAAAACGTAAAAATCAAAATAAAAAAACTGGCAACACTGTTAAGTTCGGCGAATATTCAAAAACTAAGGCTCACTGTCACTCTCACTCATCTGCAGAAGTGCGCGAGAGTGACGGGTAAATCCAAATACACGGACAATGCTTTAGTGAGTAGGGCTTCGAACTTAACCTGTTGCACGTTTTAAGTATTCGCGCCGCTGTTAATAACATTTGTTATTAAAAGTATTAATACCGGCTATGTATTTCATTTATCTGTTATTTGCGAAATTTCTCCAAGAGTCCTGTGCTTGCATGTTCTCGTGCGCTTAGGGGAGGAATTAGTTGACAGGCTACCACTTAATGTGTCAGTGGTGGAAAAAATTGAAAATTTATCACCAAGCCATGTGTGCTTCTCAACCAGCAGACCCAACGTTGATGATTTTGGCAATTAGGGAAACCTAATATTGACCGGGAAACTGTAATGAACCAATGACGTTCTTTAAGTACGTTGCGCATTGAAGTAATCGATACAGCTTCTTCCAATGATAACCTAAATTTTTGGGTACAGTTATTGAAAATACAGAATGCTGGAGGGTATCACATGTTTAAAGAGTTTGCCGAGTTTTCATTGCGATGTCTCTCATTACCTTTAAGTAATACTATCGTAGAATAGTATATTTCATTACGAGTGCGGAAAGCCTGTCATTGCAAAGAGTTCCGACAAATGTCTACCCGAGCCGAGGCGCAGCCGAAGGTGAGGGTTGACAGTCGGAACAAGTATTGCAATGACGGTTCCGCACGTGTACTGAAGAACTATTTTTAATACAGTTGCGAAAAAATTAAGCAATTTAATAAAGAACATTTTTGGAAAATGGCGCCAACCGTAAAAGAATATAAGCAGAGATTTTTTTGTTTTCTTCACCCATTCTGGATAGGCAAAGGGAACTAAGCCCATACAGCTAAGTCTTCAGTAGAATTTTTTTATTGATATGAAATGAAAATTAAATTTAATGAGATAAAATTAAATGAAACCTAACCTAACACATTGATTCAAATCATTAAATCTGATATTGAAACAAATTAGTAGCTTCTTTTTAGAAATATTTGCATGAATCATAAAAACTTCTATGAATTTTTTTTAGTAAAAACTTCGTGGTTGTTTTTTTCTTTTTTATAGACATTATTTTGACAGTTGGGAAAGAGAACGCACGAGTTCGGAAAAGGTAAAGAAAAACGTAGTGGTTATATTCTCTTTGGCACGAGTATGTAATAGCCCAAATCCCGAACGTTATACGTCCCTGCAATACGTCGTTACTTTTTGAGCAACTGTATTAAAAAGAATTTTTAGCGTGATGGGCACGATAAAGACAAAATTAAGGAACAGAATGTAACTACCCATGCTGATTGCAATTCTTAGAATCCGTACACATATGAATGTCCAAAATATTTTTTCAACAATTTTCAACCGATTAATCATATGATCAGTTTCCATGTTGGGAGAAAAATGTATGTTTCCAGTTCCAGCGTAGTTTACACCAGCACCAGCACAGCAGAGGCTACAGAAAATTTTGACGGTGAAAGCCTTGCTGATGCTTTGTTGCTGCTGGCAGCAAATGATGATTGCTGATTTTTTAAATTTAATACTCTATGTACATCTTATGAATAAATAAAGTGTTAAAAATTACGTTTTTATTTATTCACAGCAAAGTTTTGATGTTTGGGCTCAGCTCAAATTAGGCTATATTAGGCTACTAAATCTGTGAAAAATGGCGATATCAGGTTCCAAGTTGTTGACAACACTGATTAGAATGGCAACACTACCTCACTATTTCTGTCAAAGTGTCAAATCGATTAATTTTCTTTGACGGTCTTTTTTGGTGTCTTTTCGGTTATAGTGTTCGTTAAGAAGGTAATATATCTTTATAATTGTGTGAAATCATAGTGTTTAAGCGCATAAGGCAATCCATACTCCTATTATAAGGAATAATACTAAGAATCTTTTCCTTTATTTTTGTGTGTGACCGGCAAAATAAGATTATATCGCCCATAATTGCGGGCTTAGGCTCCGCTAAATAAACGTAATAATACTGTATTGCTTGTTTCAACTTTTTCTATTATTTCTGGACGATTGTATGTATATGCTATATTGTGACTCAATTAGAACTATTTTTATATTACAAATTTCATTCTTTGATGTACGTTATTAAGTTGAAGCCCTTAGCTGCCTGTAGTCTGTATTATTCATATACACAACATTCATATACTTGCTATGTGACTTAATAAGTAAACTACCTATTGTATTAATGAATTTTTACGAATATGTATGTGTATATTATAAAGATCAACATATTTATATAATGTTAATAATTTATAGGGCTTTTAACATCCATTGAAGATCTCCAAAAGAAGAAATCTCAAAATGCCAGAACTCACTGAACTGGACAAAGCAACTGCATCAATGACTGAAAAACGCAAGGAGGAGACTGCATCTTCTGATAGTGATTCAGATGACATGATCCCTGAACTTGAAGATGCAGGTTTGGGCTTATTAATAATTGGAAATAAATTATTTTTTCAAGTCTATGTAATTATAAAAATATTGGCTCTTAATATTAAGTTGATAATTATAAGGATTTTGATATGAAGTAAAATATTTTTTGTTAGTTTAAGACTTGTTTTAATCAAGGGCCATATTGAAGAAAAAGAGTATAAAATTTATTTATTTTGGATTTAACCTGCTAATTTTAATAAAGATGTAGAAAGTTATGGATCAATTAGTCCTCCAAGCTGTACTAGTGCATATTGGCAAACTTCACAAGTCTTTGAAATATTTATTTTGGCTTAGCTTTCCATTGACTCCCGTCGAGTTGGGGGTTGATACGTATTTTTACAGAAAAGTAACACTATTATAAGCACACACACAAAGTTACAACACGTGGAAATGTGTAATTTTTAAGAAAAAAGTTATTGAAAATCAATTATTCTTGCATTGTTTATATGTTGTGTGTTAAAATAAAACAAATTTCAATAAGAGATCATTTATTATGGTATCTTTCTTGTTTTTCATAAAATGGATTTATATTTACATTATAAATGCAAACATGAAAAAAATATAGATATCTTAGAAATCGATTTTTTGGGAATCGATACATCAGCTTACAATTCGAATCTCTTTAAAAAAATCGATCTTATTCGGAAAGAATCGACATCCCTACTGACAATAACAATAAAAAATGGTGTCAGTTTTATTGTAGGATTAGCCATAAACAATGCAAGAATAATTGATTTTCAATAACTATTTTCTCAAAAATTACGCGCTTCCGCATGTTGTAACTTTGTGTGTGTGCTTATAATAGTGTAACTTTTCTGTAAAAATACGTACCAACCCCCAATGCGACGGGAGTCAATGGAAAGTCGTACGATTATTTTAATAGACTGCCCATTTTCTCACAATGATTTTCATCACCACTATGAATGTATTAAATTAGCACTTAAAATAGCAATTAACAATTTCTTTGGTACTATCGAGGATTAAATTCAGGTGTCCCTTTGAAATTTATGGCAAGTGCTCAGCTTCTAAGCTACCATTACTAAGTTATTTATTAATTGAAAGTATAATATTTATTCAGGTGCCCCTGGTGCAGGTGGAATCACTAATCCAATTGCTGGCATTGACATAGTCTCCAAAGCGAAGCAATCACGAGGAGAAAAGAAGGCACGAAAAATTATGAGCAAGCTAGGTCTTAAGCCGGTTAGTATACAAATTATTGTATATAACAAATCAGGCCTAAATCTTGCATTGTAAATTATAAAAGTAGAACATACTTACATACAAATTATGCCCTATGTAAGGGGTTTATATTTACCTTATCATTGTCAATATTGTTTTGTGCTTTTTCAGGTACAAGGTGTAAACAGGGTGACAATCAGAAAATCAAAGAACATCCTGTTTGTGATCAACTCCCCAGATGTGTATAAGAACCCACACTCCGATACTTATATTGTATTTGGTGAGGCCAAGATTGAAGATTTGTCACAGCAAGCAACTATGGCAGCAGCTGAACGATTCAAGGCTCCTGAAAGTGCCGCTTCTGGCAATGATGCTACTGCTGCTGGCACTGTAAGTCCTGGTTATTTTTAGAACCTACTGCCTCATAAATTAATCTGATATTTTAATTAAATGTTTAATTAGGCTTCAAAGAAGTCATCAGTTAAAATCTCTAAATCAATATTAAGGGCTCTTTTTACATGTACTGATTGAAGATCCAGTATTTTCTTTTATAAAAGTCCATTTTAAATGACAATTGTTATTTAATAGCTGACATTGTTAATGGAAAACTCTTTTTGTTAAATGTTCTATTTATACCTTTGTGTTACACAATGAATTCAAGTGCTATCTTGCTAATTAATAGGTACAATAGAGTGCATTAATTGAGCAGTGGTAGTTAAGAAGCTAAGTGCTTGCCGTAAATTTCACAGTAAGCCTGGCTTGATTCCTTGATTGATAATTGCTGATTTACGACACGCTCTGCAGTTAAACAAAACATTGTGAGCAAAACCTGCAAGTCTAGGAAACAAAATATTTCTAGGACATAATGTAAAGTCCACAAACACCTAGGAGCAGTGCAGAGTTCATAACCCTCTCAAAAATTAGAGGAGGCCTGTCCCCAGTTGTGAAAGAGGTATTAAGGCTGTTCCTTTATTTTACAAAATTGTTACAGTATCGTAATTATATTAGCATGTTAAATATTTTTTTATTTATTTATTCATATTAAAACTTGTTGGTTTTCACTTATCTTATACTCCTTTTCTTTATAGGTTATGTACTAAATATGTAATTGTTTTCTGCATATATGAATATTTATATATACATTCCATTTCATATAGATTGCAATACATTTCACTTGTCTTACAATTTTAATAAAAAAATGAGATGGGCGTATGCATCTATTAGTAGTGTTATAATATGACAGTGGCTTATAATTATTTATTATTTGTTTTTTTTTTTGTTATATAGTTAGTATTTTTGTAAATGTTATGATTATTTAGATCATTATATTCATCCATGCATCCATTACAGCCTATAATACTCCACTGCTCAACATAGGCCTTCTCTATTACCTCATAGGATTTGTCATAGTCACCACGCTTAAAAAACGGGATTTGCCACTGAACTCGTTGTTTTAGTTATTTTCAGTTATCAGGAAAATACGGCTGCTCATCTCCCCTTTTGTCACGTCTTAGTAGTAAGACCCACGGGATGATATGAGGTAGTGAATATTTTAACACTGCCACTACAGATTAGATCTATATATTATATACTTATTGAAACTAATCATCTTCATTAAATGCTTTCAAAGGCCACCGTTGAACATAGATCTGCCCCATAGGTTGCCTGTCAGGAAATATTTTTGCATGTAAAAGTGGCTACACTTAGCAGGTAGAGGTGGATTTTGGCAATTGCTGTTTTTTTAATTAATTTGTATTGTTATCAGGGAGATGCTGCTGCCCATTTCCTGTTTAAAACTAATATTTCTATTAATTTTTAACAGACAGTAGCTCCAATAGCAGAAGAAGAGGATGAAGAAGGAGTGGACGAATCTGGTGTGGATGAAAAGGATGTGGAGATTGTAATGTCTCAAGCAAATGTCTCACGGGCAAAGGCTGTACGAGCATTACGCAATAATCAATCGGATATTGTTAATGCTATTATGGTTTGTATTACTTATTCATATCAAAAATTAATACTACTTTTTTTAGCTTATCAATATAAAAATATGTTGCTACAATTATTTGTCTCGCATGCTGTGCAGCTGATCATTGCTGAAACTTGTGATAACTCTTATGATAACTTAAAAAGTTCATTGAGTTATTAGGTTTTTTTACATCATCAATATCATTGCAGCCCATCACGAGTCTACTGCTGAACACAGGTTTCACTGAAGGAATGCCACAAATCATGCCTGTTTTTTTTTTCTACAGCCACGTTAAAATTTAATGTTAAGTTAAAATAAGCAAAAAATGCATTAATTAATTGTAACGATTACATATTGCAATAAAATTATTTTATAGTTTATGGTGAGTTAAAACCACATTTAAGTCACGCTCATGCAGGACTTAACTAGCCGATTATTGTACGGTATGTTTTAATCAAGTCACATGCAAGTCACACATAAAATTTAAAATATTTTATTATTTTTAAAAAATTTAAACATTTATTGAAACATAATATAAATGCAGAACAATAAAACTTTAATTAGTATTATCTATTAGAATATTTTAAATTAAAACAAAACATTAAAACATTTGAACAAGAAATATAAAAAAATTCTTGAGATAAAGTCATTTAAATTTCTTGTACATTTTTAGCTTGTACTGTATATTTTAAAGTACAATTATTAAAAACACAATTATTAATACTACTATTTACCATCATATTACAATTGCTAAAAAAATAAGACCGTTGTGAATTCAGATTTGATAAATCATCTACATATAAGCCAACATCTCATCAACATACAAAACTTCTGTCAATCGTGTCTAGTTGCACCTTTGGTCCTGTTTAATTAAATCTTTAGATGTTGTAATTCTTGTACCAAACCTTTTTGATTCTCTGTATTTACTAAAAAAACTTCTTCTTTCAAACTTCATGAAATATAATATATAAAATATCAACATCATGTTGATATTTTAGATAGCTCTGACACGATTTTTGTCTTTATAATCATTTAGTATTTTACAATTTTTCAATTAAAAAAGTGGTTTTAAGTCACTTGTACTCACGGAACTTAAGTAACCGATTATTAAAATGTGTAAAGTTCACATTAATGCACAATTATTTTCAACTTTACAGTATTTTGCCTTAAATATTAATTATTTCATTGGATTACTTTTTAATTCACACATTTTTATTGTTTACAGGAGCTGACAATGTAAACAATTAGTCAGAAGATTACTTTTAAATGTTCCTAGATTATAAGTCTCTGTGTTATCTAATGCTGGCTTGACATAAACACATAGTTTTTGTTCATGTCAGTAAACTAATTATTATTAATCCGGAAGATATCCCAAAGTCAGATCTCCATTTACGGAGGTCATATGAGTATTTTCATGTATTATGAGTGGATATGGGAATGTAAATAGTTACTCCAAAATACATTAAAACAATATGCTGTTTGCTGTATGTTTGTGTTATTTTTACCTTTTAGCCCTACTAATACAGAGGAAATTTCTTACTGAAAATCAACCTGGTTTAAAAAAATTTTTACTACACAAAATCACACAGAATATATACATAAGTAGTGTTTGTGTAGGTTAAAAGTGAATCAAAATTTAAAGGACGAGGGATGTCAGGAGGGAGATGATCATAGAGTGAACAAGATAATTTAGGACAGTTAAAAAAATATGGTTGGAGGTTCCCACATTCGCAGAGGGAACTATCCCTAATCCTCAGTTTGGCCAATTGTACTGGTGTACAAGCATGGCCAATTCTAAGTCTACAAATAGTTGATGTAGAATGTTTGTTAGCTTTATTAAATTTGAAAAACCATGGTTTTGGAGGAATGGCATATTGTATAGCAGCATAGTGTTTACCTTTTATATTTTGAGTGGCTTTCCATAATGTATTCCAATTATTATTTAACTTCTTCTTTGCAAGTAACACTATGTCTGAAGAGTAATTTAAATTACATGGCAAACCATTTCGACTTGCATTTTTAGCCATCAGATCAGCTGTTTCATTGCCCTTGATGCCACTATGACCTGGAATTCAAGCTAAGGAAACCTGAATGCCCTTGAGATGACATCTATACAATGTGTGTTTAATTTTGAGGATCAAGGATATCTTATATTTACTTTGGAACTGGTTTGACAAAATTGCTAACAAACAACTTTTGGAGTCGGTAAAAATAACTGACTTATTTTAGTTGTGTGTATTGTATATAATAAGCTAGCCTTTCCATAAATTATCTATGACTCGACTTACTTTACTATTTGCTATAGGGCAATCTTTCTCAATACCAAGGTCGAGGTGGATATTTGGTTGGAAAATGATTGCATCATATGGGATATCAAAGATGGGACAGGACTTGCATTGTGATACTGGGTGTGGTAGATGGAGTAATGTTACCAAACTTGGATAAGCAGGGAGATTATGAGTCCAGTAATGCTTTGACGAAATATATTCCAAAAGGAGGTGTAATTTAGAAATGAGAGGGTGGGAAGAGAGTTGGTAGATTTTAAAAAAGAATCGGTCCGAAAGATATTGTCTTCTTAGGTAAAGGGGTGGGGGACATTCAACTTGGAGAGCATTTATTGGGGAAGACTTCATTGCCTCGATGATTATACGAAGGCTTTTGGACTCAATCCTGTCTAGGATCTTTAGGGAAGACTTATTACATGGTTCCAAGACAAAACATCCATAATCTAAATGACTACGGGCGTTGTACAGTATTTTTTGGGAGAATGTGTGGGAACCCCACCAGACACCCGATAAAGCGTGAAGAATGTTTATATTTTTTTCACATTTTTTTGGAGACATAGTTGATATGATGAGAAAAGGCTAGTTTGGAGTCAAGAATAACTCCCAAAAATTTTACATTCTCCCTAATTGGGATAGGTTCATTATTATAGAGAATGTTGATTTCAGGGACTTGCCTATGGCGAGAGATGATCACAACACTGCGTTTGGGAACAGACAAAGACAAACCATGATCAGTTAACCAATCCTGTAAGTAAGACATTGATATATTTAAGCGGGAACATGCTGCAAGGAGGCTATCTAGGGAAATATATATAGCTATATCGTCTGCATATTGGAGGATTTTACAGAAGGAGTTAACAGAAAGTTCTAAATCATAAGTATAGATAGAGTAGAGTAAAGGACTAAGCTCAGCCTTGTGGGAGACCCTTCCATACAATTCTTGGCGGGAGTAGAGAATTTTGACTATCAATATAAATGAATCTAGAAGAGAGAAAGTTAGAGACAAAATTTACTATCCTCACTGGAATACTCAGATTAAGAATTTTTTGCCTTAACACAGGAAGAAGTGCATTGTCATATGCAGACGATATGTCTAGGAAGACTCCAACAAGGTATTCATGTTTAGAGTAAGCTATACGAATATCAGTAACTAGAGTACTAAGGCTATCCATGGTGCTTAAGCCCTTTCGGAATCCAAATTGGCTTTATGCTAAAAGATTTTTGCTTTCAAGAAACCATTCTAAACGATTTTATATTAGGTGTTCAAGAATTTTGGCCATGGTGCAAGAAAGAGTAATAGGGCGGTAGCTTGCGGGATCAGTGTAAGGCTTACCTGGTTTGTGAATATGTAAGATAACTTGGGATTTCCATTCTTCAGGAGGAATACCGGACATGTAAATATAATTCAAAATAGAAAGAAGATGGGCTTTAGTTGATTCACTGTTATTAGTAATAAAAGAATAAGGGATTCCATCGATTCCTGGTGAAGAGTCTTTAAGGACACTAAGAACAGCATATAACTCCTCATAAGAGAAAGGGGAGTCAAAACTGTGTTGATAGTGCAGGGACTGTGATTGAAATACTATACATTCATTGTAAGATGGTACTGAAGGAGGAGCAAGATTACTAGCAAAATTTTCTAGCCAATAAGACTGATCATTAGAATTTGTGTTTTCAGGGGCCAAAACTGAACATCGGATTTTTTTTATATTTTTCCAGACTAGTGATGGATGAGTCCTAGGCGACAGTGACTCACAGAATTTAAGCCATTCAGCCTTTTTCTTTTCAGATAGTAATTTTAATGTTTCAGCAGCAGTTTTTTTTATAAAAAATATAGTCATCAAAGTTCATAGAGTGGGAATATCTAAATTCAGCTTCCTTTCTCTTCTTACATACTACAGAACAATCTTGATCCCGCCAAGGCGGTGAAGGAGCATTATTTTTATAAGGTTTTTTGATGGGAATAGTCTTATTGGCAGCAGATAAAATAGCATTTTTAAAAGTAGAATACACCTGAAGAACATTCTCATTCTGAACCGGAGGAAGGGCTAATAGTTTTTGTTTTAGAATTGTAGAATACAGGTGCCAGTTTGCTTTGGATGTGTTATATTTTAACCTAGGTTTAAATGGAACATTGACTGTATAGCAGTTAAGAGGATTGATAACAATAGGAAAATGATCACTGCCATGGGAGATGGGTAATATTCTCCAAGAAAGAAGGGACGACAGAGCAGGAGAACAGAGTGACAGATCTACTGCACTTTTAGGATTTGGGGAGGGGGGGGGGAACTCTACGTGTAGGTGAACCATCGTTAAGGAGGCAGAGACCTAAGTCATCAATGATGTCTAAAAATGTAGAAGACCAGGAATCACAAAAATGGGAGCCCCATAATGTATGATGCATATTAAAATCACCAAGAATTACCAAAGGAGAAGGGATGGAGGATATAATCCTCTTAAGTTCTGATAAGATATTTAGACTAGGTTCGGGAATGTAAATAGAAAGAAAAGAAATGTTATGAGCTCTAACTGCTACAGCATTAATTGAAGGACTATGAGAAGGGAAATTAATGTATAATTAATTGATTTTGAGATAAGAATGAAAGAGCCAGTTTGACCATCACTCCTATCATCCCTGAGGCATGAATAACCTGAGACCCTAAAATGGGACCCAGGCTTTAGCCATGTCTCTTGGATGGCTAGGATGAGGGGATGGTATTTATTAATAAAATATGTTAGTTCGTTTTTCTTATTTTTAATGCTCCGGCAGTTCCACTAAAGTATTGGAGGGAAGGTTATTCGTTAAGGAAATGAGCTCAGTAAGTTTTTGGCGGAGGGCAAGTAGGAGATCCATGTCGCTGAAACGGGAAAGCATACTTATAAGCAAGGAGACCATTAATTCGCAGAAATTGTCATTAGGGGAAATACTCCGCCCTATTAAAGAACAACCATTAGTAGATGAAGAAGAAGGGGTATCTATTATTGCCTCGGGGACAGATTTATCATATCCATGACTTGATGCTGGATTTGGCGGAAGTCTTGGAGTGAATATAGTCTTCCTGTAAGAATGAGATTGTGAGGGGAGAACTGAAGGTAAAGGGGGATTTGAAATAGAATAGGAAATCTGATGATCATACGAAGGAAGGGTTCTAGCAGTATCTGCATAAGATCTACTAGGAAATGTTTTCCTGTGACATTGTAAATTTGATAGATCTCTGCCTAGAGTGTTCAGGGCAGGAAGGATCTTTAGCTGTGTGAGATCCTGAACAAAAAAGGCAAGTGGGAGACTGTCTTGTGCATGATATACCCTCATGATTTTGAGCACACACAAAACAACGGGAAGATGACCTACACTGTGAGGTAACATGTCCAAAACGGCAACATTTGTGACATTGAATAAGTGGTTAAATGTAGGGCTCAACAGGCCTTTACAACTTAATAGTTGTAAAAACAATAAATGTTAGGAAGAAGTTTCTGGCCGGAAAAAGTTAAAAGGACTGTTAGAGAGGGAATCCACACAGTGCTTTGGTTTTCATTCACTGATTTTCTATTAAATCGGCGAGCTTTAATGATTGAGCCAAAACCAGCTGGGACTCGATTGATGAAATGAGTTCCTCTAATGTCCATTCTACAGGGACCTGCCTCACTATTCCCATGCGAGTGATATTATAAGAAGGGACTACAGTGTGGCGGCGCTGTCGTCGTGCCACAAGCGAAACACATCGACGACTAAATCGCGCTAACAAAGTTCCGAAATTAAAGCAGTACATATAGAATAGCTCCGAACTACCACTCGGAGCGTTGGCCGCTACCCGGGCAGCACACCTTGCCTGGCAGGAGATCTCCCCTCTTCCTTCCACCGCCACAGTGGATTATTATTCCACTGCTGCGGATGCATCTCATTACACATCTATTACTCCACCACAACAGTATCATATTTAGCACCTGCAAAGGCTGGGTTCTCAATAAAGCAATTTGCATCAGCTGCACTTTTAAATTCGACTGAAATTCTATTGCGCCCTACTCGCTTAACACCGTCGAGAAAATTACCAAACTTTATCGGTTTTAAAACCAAATCAGATGATAAATCATCTACTATCTTACTTATATGTACAATAAAGGGTGCACTGTCGTTATTAGAGTATTTATGTTTTTTTTCTATGTAGTCAGGATGGGTATAAGAGGTCTGAATAGGTGGT